AAGTTTCGTTCAGTTCGAACGTTCGTTCCTGGAGTTTTACGTCCACTTCTACCTAAGGTGATGTCGTAGACAAATGTGCGGATTGTGCGGTTGTTCCCTTTATATAGTCGTCGGGCACCGGGGCACAAAATGGGTCTCGGGTGGACCGGCGCAGTGCTGTATCACCAGAGCAACTATTTCTGTTTAATGGTGAACACAGCATAGGCGTATGAGCCAGGGGGCAGAGAGGGTGGGGGGGGCAGCTGCCCCCTAACTTTCGGGCAATCTGCCCGAAATCTAATAAAACACTAATTTTACTTTTCTTTTAATTGAATACCACGAATTTGTACTGGATTGACTATGGATTAAAACATTTTGCCTGGAGCCAATCTAATTAGTGCGACATTTTTCGGGCATCGATTATTATTTGTGAATGCAGCTGCAACAGTCCGATTGGATGATTGGAATTCAGGTCGGCACAGATTGGGATTTCGGTTACAAAACGATTGGAAACTATGAAGTTGCTTAACTCACGGGCGGTGGTTAAATTTTCAAATTTTTCTCGGGGAGCGCGAGGCCCCCATACCCTTCGACAATTTATTAGTTGTTTGGGATTCATACAGTGCCGGACTTCGGCCCATCTGTCAGGCCATTGACCAAGTCCCACACAAGTACACGCCGAAGGCGCGTCACGTGCGCACCGAAGGCGTCCAAGGGGGATCTGGGGTGTTCTCTCCCCAGGAAAATTTTGAAAATTGTCAACTGCAAACCCATTTTCCAAGCATTTCAGACCAAAGCAGAAGAAGGCAAATTTTTGATTTCCTGATACAATTAGATAACAGAATGACCTAAGAGTACTATCATAATCTTTAAGAGGCATTTAGTAACTGGGTAGAGCAATACACAAAAAACACATACTTATGGAAAAACAGCTACTTATTTATTTGGGCGACGTTTCGAAGAGTATTCTCTCAACGTTATCAAGCTAATACAGTAATACAAGAATAATGAGATCAATATATACAGAAAACTGTAACAACAATTCACGAAACCATACAGGACAACAACAAGATCAAAGGGGTTTATTCTACAAAAACTAATTAAGTGTGAAGAGTAGCCATTGAGTATAGTTTAGCAATTAGGTAGCTATGATGATAGATACATTACTACCGGCAGAATGGGATAGTACCTACAATACAATTATGATATACCATGGTTTGTTTAGATAATGGTAATTAACTTTATATGTCTGTGTGATTAAATGTACAATTAGACTAGAGTAACCTATATGTGTAATAATTCTAAGAAATAGAGTGGATATAACTGATAAATTGATAATAATATTAGAAAAATGAAAAATAATAAAACTCATAAAAATTCAAAGGTTTCTTATCCACTGTACTGTAGAATGAGTGGGGGTGATGGAAAACACATAATTTAGGTATATTTAATAAGTTCATCATAAGCACTAGGCAGGAATATCCCTGTGTCGCGGTTGAGGTCTGGACTGTTTCTTTTAATGTGTATGGCCTCAATAATTTTGCGGGTTTTTTCTATCGGTAGGTTGGCCGCCAGGGTTCTATACATTTTAATTCTGTGTCCTGGGTTGGATTGTGTGTGTTGGGCCACAGCTGAATTGGTAGTAGAGGATTTAGATTTATGCTGACTGATTCTCTTGTCTAAAGGCTGTCTAGTTTCTCCAATGTATTTTTTGTCACACGTGCAGGTTATTTCATAAACACATTCTTTTGGGTTCAGTTGTTTGGTTGGGGGAAGTTTGCCACTGGCCTTCAGGAGATCTTTGAGAGTTCTTCCTTTGGAAAATGTTACCTGGATGCCTGTTGGGGTTAGGAGTCTTCTGAGGTGGTACGATAGTTTGCCTTGAAAAGGTATTGTTATTCTCACTGGTGGTTTATCTGGTTTAGGTTGGCTTATATCTGTAGGAGGATTGGTGGTTGCTTTGATGATTTTCTGCACTAATTGTCGGGGGTAGTTATTGAAGTTGGTTAGAGATGTTTCAATGTGATCAAGTTCTGCTCTGATGTAGTCTTTGTCGCAGATGTTCACGGCTCTGCGCGCTAAAGTGGATACAGTAGCTTTCTTTACGCTGTGCGGATGATTCGACTTATAATTGATGTACTGGTTGGTATGTGTGGGCTTTCTATATACGCTGGTATTTAGTTTGTCAGCAGATCTCTTAACTAGGACATCCAGGAACGGGAGGGATTGGTGCTGTTCTTTTTCTATCGTGAATTTTATTCTGTTATTTTGGTTGTTGAGGTGGATGAGGAGGAGGTTGGGGTCTTCATTCTGTTTGAGAATGACAAAAATATCATCTACCTTACGAAGCCAAGCTGTAGGTTGAACCGGTGAAGTGGATAGGGCATCCTTTTCAAAACTAGTCATATAGATCTCGCTGAGGACTGGGGACAAGGGGCTTCCCATGGGTAATCCATGTACTTGCTCGTAAAAATCATCTCCCCAGGAAAAGTAGGTGGAATCAATGCAGGTTTTAGTGAGGTTAATGATGTCTTCCGTGCTGAGGTTGGTGTCAAGTGGGTTCTCTAGGGAAGATAATCTGTGGCGTAGTGCTTCAATGGCTTCATCTCGAGGAATATTAGTAAAAAGATCGATGACATCGTACGATAGAATCTGTATGTCTTGTGGTTGGTCCTGTAGTTTTTCGCAGAAATCTTTAGAGTCTTTTATGAACGAAGGGGCTTCTTTACCTAATGGGGAGAGGAGTTTAGACAGGTGTTGCGCTGTATTATAAAATACAGAGTCTCTGGAGCATACTAGGAGTCTGGCTTTAATAGGATTCTTGTGGGTTTTAATCGTGGCTCTGGCATATGGAGGTCTGGGATGAGATGGCTTGAGCTTGTAGAATAACGGGTTGGTAAGTCTTCCTTGTTCTTTCAGGTTCAATAACTGGGCAGTATGTTTATCGCTATAGCTGTGGGTGGGATCTTTCCTAATCCTCCTGTAGGTGGCTTTATCTGCCAGTAGATGAGTTACCGTGTTGAGATAGTCAGTCTTATCCATTATAACAGTGGATTTCCCTTTATCAGCAGCTACTATTGTGATGTTATGGTCTTTCTTCAGTAGAACAAACCCCTTTGATCTTGTTGTTGTCCTGTATGGTTTCGTGAATTGTTGTTACAGTTTTCTGTATATATTGATCTCATTATTCTTGTATTACTGTATTAGCTTGATAACGTTGAGAGAATACTCTTCGAAACGTCGCCCAAATAAATAAGTAGCTGTTTTTCCATAAGTATGTGTTTTTTGTGTAAGAGTACTATCGTTAGATGAATTTGAGAATTCTCTTCAGTGTCAAAAACAAAAGATGAATTACACGGTTCTTGGTATAATGAGGTCAAACTCATTAAGATCTTTCCTTGTAGTACACTTCTTTTTTGTGTTGTTTGTCAGTCATTTTTTCCCTATCTTTTCTTTCTCCTATCCTGTGTCCTGTCCTCTCCTTCCTTCTATCTTTTCTTCCCCCCCCCACACTCCTTTCTTTCTCTTTTCTTTTTTCTTTCTCTTTTTTCTTCATAGGCTTAGGCCCACTTTTTTTAATGAGCTTAGGCCTACCTGTCACGGACAGGTGGACCCAGTCCGGCACTGGATTCATAAGCCACCTAAGGTAGGCTATATTGAAGTTGCTGTATTCTCCGTGGACTGTAAACGATTGATTGGTTGATTGGAATTCGAGTCAGCCACCTAAGTTAGGCTATATTATACCACTTGCTGTATTCTGTGATAGGAATAGCAAGAAAACGCGTTTGCGATCGTCAAATTTTCTTTGAGGCGGGATCCCTGGACGCCTATAACCCGAAGGTTTTTCGGGCACAGAAACGGCTAAAGGGTTGTCGTTGTAAAATGCTTATTTGCATAGATTCTAAGGCCCCTAACCCATTTGACTTTGTCGTTTAAAATAATATAAACAAGTGGGAATTATTTGGATAACCAGACTGGGATTATTGAATTGTGTAATATACACTAAGTTTTTCTTGTACTAGATAGCATAATTTAGAACTTGTCCAGGCATGCATGCTTAGTTTACAATCAGACTTAGTATTCAACTGCTATTTGGCAATTGTGCTGTCGGGTTTTATGATCATGACGAGATAAAAAAATACCAAGTTATCTTCACTAAGTTTTGGATTAGCCATATAGATCGTGTATATTGGTGCGGTAAAATGTCCGGGTCTCTAATCTGAGGAGCCATTACTAATTGTGGGATAAGAAATAAAATATAACGACCTGCAACTTTTTTCTCCCGCTGGTTTGCGAAAAATATCTGAAGTAATAACACTAGGGTTTTCAGTGATATTAGGAAGCTAAAACACCATTCCTCTCATTGAGAATCAGTGACATTCTCCACAGAAGTCTCGATATCCAGCAGAAAGCGTATGTTCTGCCATCGGTCATTATACCGGAGTACAAAATACTCCATAAATTGAACAACAAATTTATACCGTTAAAACTCTCCGGAATTTGAATAGCAAATTTAGACTATTTTGATTCCAAGTAGATTACCATCATCGTATAGACCGAAAAAATATTCTGGTCTTTATGCGCCTTATAAAAATATGTACGCTCAAATCCGAGTGAAAACTATTTTTAACCTCACTAAAACGAAATTCGATCGTTTATATAACGGATTATGATCTCACTATTGTTCAATTTAGTAAGCCCTCCCAAGAGAAATGGCATCTATTATCCTATTCGGAAATAGCCCATGCCGCACACTCTCCAAAAAAAGCCAATCACATCATTTAGAAGGCTGATATGCGATCAGAAATGTTACGATACAAATAACTGGGCTTTTCACTACTGATCCCGACTGAGACATAAATGATATGTCACGTTGGATAATATCTAAACCATTTTAAGTCGAAATGGATTCACACTTAAGAACTTTCGCAACGAATGGCTATACAATTTCATAAGATATAGTCCCGAAGTGTCCCCACATTCTTCTTACTTATATAAAAAAAAAAATAAGTTATATAGACTAGGTATATAAATAATTTTATATCAAATATATAATTCACAATAAACAATGTATGGGTAGACTGTTTAGAAAGTTGTGTATATGATCACAGATGGTTTGGCATGAGAAAAACTTAACTGACTTCATCAAATTTATTAATATTGTAAATTAGGCTTCCATTAAAGAATAATTGAGTGTATTAATAGCGTTTTTTAAAGCATCAACTACTAGAATAATAGCAGACACCTGTATAGAGACTTCATTATGACCCCCTTCCTGTAAACCTTTCACAATACGATTCCATTCATTACTTGTAGTAACATGATCACTAAATATAGCCTGTCTTAATACATTCTTATCTTTATCACCATCTACTAAAAAATGAAAACAAAAGAAAAAAAATATTATCAAGCAAACTGTAGGTTACTGGTGATATATATACCTATGGGTCTACCATATTGTCCAGTGAAAAAGACATGGGTATGAAATAGATGAGAATCAAGCACCAGTTTGTTATTATAGAAGACTACCTTCACTTATCCTGTATCTAGACATATGATAAATCTCTATCCAAATACAAATTAATTAACAATGATATTGTGTCAAAAGTGTACACATGGAATTCTAAATGCTAACAATTTGGTGATTTGAGGCCCATATGTTAATGGGTTCCTTTAAGATTACCAATCATCTTGACATCATTAAGAAATTCATTAAAATTACCTTTCTTTTTGGACTTTTGAAATTGCTGTATAAATTTGACCCCAAGGTTCAAGTTATCCATTTGTAAAAGTGTCTTCAATATAACGCCAATAGGTACAATAGAACTTCCAGTTGTGTCATGTTCTTCTGACAGCCCCAAGAATAGTTGAACAGATGGACATGCCTTTATTAGGTACACCAGGAATTCAGCTTCAAGGGTGCCTTTAATTTTGGCGTATTGTAATCCAGTTAGTACCCTTCCTTGTTTTACCAGACAGATGACAACATTTTGGTGCTCTCTTAAACCTGTAAAGATAGTCTGAGCCAATGCCTGACAACCACACTTACATGGTATTTGACACGAACAATGCTCGTCTAACAAAACGCCAATATCTCTTGATAAACTTAAACTGTAAATGAAAGAAATAAGAAAAAAAAATATTTTAAGAAACGTACAATATTCAATTATAACATGAACATGCATCACACCAAAGGAGAAATTACAGACATAATATTTCTTGACTAGCTGTCTAACTACATCTAAAACACTGGTACAGTGACCATTCTGCCACACTTTCTCCAGTGATAAATAGAAATTAGCAAATTACTGTGTTTTAAGAATGGAATAAAACAGTTTATCTATTAGCCGTTTTAGTGATCATTTCAGAATGGCTCAATATTTCCTGCTGATCTTACAGACAAGTTAATTAGTTTATTTCTTTACAATTTATCTTCAGACTTAAATAAACAATCTTTAGTGAAATACTTTTCTGAATTCTCCAAGCATGGACAGCAAATGACCACTGACTGCATGGCTTCTTTGAAATACCTTAACAGTTAATCAGTCATGCAATCAGATCGTACAAATTGAGGAAATGAGTCTGAAATATGATGGTATCTCTATATCTCAAAGAAGAAATCTATAAGGTAACTTCATTAGCCAGATTGGTGCAGTGAAGCAGGACTTTAACACAGGAACTTGAAGAGATTCAAATTTTTTAAAATTTTCTTGTCTAACATACTATGATAATGACAAGGTATATCACACGCCATATTGTTTTGACCCAGTGAAGACATTTCTTCGTTGATTATCTCACAATACTCACTACATGTAACACTCTTCTTCGGTTTTATTGCAGACTAGACTTTATTTAATTCTTATACAACCCCCAATGTCACTAAATTGATCATTTCATAGCATTATTATTTATAAATATAACTTTAAATAATATCAATTTCTGAATACTAACTTCTTTGGACCGGAAGATGTGATGTTTGAGGAACCTCTCATTTCTGATTGGTTAATGGAAATATAGTTTTCATTAGTGACAGTCTAGATCACACAGTCCCTTTGCTAAACTATCTGTTGTACCAGATTTGGACAGGGATTAGGTAATCAAACAAAAGGGAATTCCCTTGACACAGTATACGGGTCACATCCGGTCAAACGAAGTTGGTATTTACAAAGCGACAGGGCTTTAAGTTTGATTTGTAATTAATAATGCTGTAAACGACTAATTTAGTTAAATTGGAAGCTGCATAAGGATTAAATAAAGATTCTTTGGCAATAAAAGGGACAGAAGGTGTCACTAGTAGTGAAATGATTGAGGACAAAATGTCTTCGCGAGTCAAAACAAAATGGCACATGATAGACCTTGTCCCTATTGTTAGTTGTATGCTAGACAAGACAATTTAAGAAATAAATATATAGCACTCATCGAGGGTTGATATGTGAAATAACCTAAGGCCGAAGGGTAATATTTGTTTTACACACTGACATCAATGTTAAATCTGTCCTAATTGATCTCACCCATAAGACAATGGTTTAGCCCATATCGGCCAAGTCGTAAGTTGCACGTGCATTACATTTTAGTAACCACCTGTTTACAAACTGGCATTTATTTTGTACAATGTTGTCAAACAATTCGAACAGCAAACTGATCCGAGCAAGTCAGTTTATAGAAAATATGGTTGAAAAAGAAAACGTAGATTCTGACAAAGAATTATTTAAAGCTAGTCAAAGCGCAGAATTTATGCAGAAAATATTTAACAAGGATTTAATGTACTAAGATATTTTGGATCGTGAGAATGGTAAAAATGATAAATGCTTTTCTATTTCAAGTTCAAGTGACAAGATGTCAGTAAATGTGCCAACAATGACGTGCCCATTAATACCTTACGCAGAAATCAGTGGGCTGTGAACCTTTTTAACAGTTGGCCAGTGTGGCGGAATAACAAAACATGATAGTGAGCGAAAAATCCTGTGTGCTTGAAAATATGAGTATATAAGATTTTATTTTTTGGATGTCTCGATTCATCTTGGAAGTAAGCAATATAAATGATGAATATTACCCACCGAATTCTGTATTTAGTTTTGGGAATAGTTTCACATTTACTGCTTGCGAATAAAACTGATGTGGATATATACTATACTACACAATCCAGAATTTGAGAGTTTTAGAAAAGTTCATGATGGTCAGATGCAGAAACTAAGTAACATGGGCCTGGCAAAGTTCATCGTCCGAATCATGTGACAACACTAAACAAAAAAGTGAATAAAATGATAAAAAAAAAAAGAATTTGTATCCTTTTTCATTGCTTAGTGATATAAACCTGTTGTGATGTCACCAGAGGGTGACATCTGATATCATCCCCAGCACCGATATCAGATATCACCCCCTGATGACGTCACAGCTAGGTTGATACATTTCATAACACGGATGGAGATCAAAGGAAATAACATCCCAAGATGTGTAAGAAATTTTAATCCCTTCAAGTGCTTGTGGACGTTAAACTGTATTTATCACTTGAAATGTTTTTTTTTTACTAATTAATAAATGAAAAGATTACAATAGTTACCTGTCTTGAGCGACCCAATGTGCTAATAAATCAAGTCTATTTTCAGATAAAGCACATCGTATACAGTCTACAGATAATCCTACACCTGGTTTACTTCCTGTAGCTTTAACAGACGACATTAGAGCATCACAGAATGCTAATAATGGCGTGCGACCTCCATTAATCCATAACTTTACATCTAAAACAGAAATGAAGTTTAATATTTACTCAATACTAAACTAAGTCATTCGAAAAATATTTTATTTCAATAATGTGATTTGTTTTCAGGGGTCTTTATATAAAAGTGGGAGGAAACTGGAGTATCTGGAGGATACCCACAACCTTGTGAAACAATACATGAGAGAGAACGAGAGAGAGATTACCTCTGAATTTGGATAAGGTTGCCTGTGTTCTTAAAATGCCTTTTGGACTGTTAGCTGCATGAATAGCGGCTTCTTCAAATTTGCCATCTTCAAATAATTCATTGAATTTTTCAATATATTCTAACATCATCTCTGCTTCTTTTTCCTTATTTGGATCATCCTCTTCAAACTGGGAGGTAGTAGTTGCTTCATTAGTTCCAGTTCCAGTTTCTCCTTCTAAATTAGTTACTTCTGTAAATAATCAAAATAATAATGGTAACTGCTTGCTAATATTTAAATTAATGAATTGAATTTATATTGAAGAAATTTAATTATAATCAGGATATTACACTAAACATTAAAGAAAGGGGTTTTGCTGTTTGACTTGGATCACTGTTACCTGTCTATTTGATTCCTTGTTTCACATGGAACCTAATTTATCTATGTAACAGCTGAGAATTGATTTATGATGTCGTGTCATTGTCGTTATGTAGTACTCTGCTAGAGAGCTTTTAAACAACCCAAATTGAATTTGGTTTTGTATTTCTTTTTTATTTGTAAACATATGGAGTGGGGGCTATATCTTATCACTAACATCATCCAGTGCAGAAGTTCTTAAAGTGTGAATCCATTGGCTAAGATTGTTTTTTTTTAGTAATTATCAACATAAAGTACCTAGCCATACTGAACACTCACCTGTTTTTGCTGCTTGTTGCCCAAAATAATGTTGAAAAGCAAGTACAACAGCATCTCCTACTGTTTGATTTGGTGGTTTGACACCATTATAGGCCTCGGCAGCTTCTAGGGCTATTTTCATCCGATGACTTCTGGCTTTAAATGCTTGGCTCTGACTCAACAGATGATCTCTAAAACTAACTTTTTTATCTAAATGATCTTTCAACTCCAGGTTGTTGCTCTTGGGTAAATAACGTGTCTTGAAGCTAATGTTAAGTTCCCTTAATTGTCTATCAAGTTTTTCAAGTTTTTTTTGTAGAAGTGTTAAATCTGTCTGTTCCTCCAGTGTTAGACCTGTTCAGTTGAAATATAAAAGTCAAAAAGTCTACAGGAATAATTAACAAAAATCATACAACAAACAAAGCTGTAATGATGTTAGGTGAAAGGTGCCCACAGTTAAAGTTACAATTTCATATTTTTAAGTTATTTAAAATGTATTAAAATAAAGCCCTAAAACAGATGGTATCCATAAACAGTCCTACTTTGTTAAAGAATAATCCTATAATTCACTATTGCCAGTTGAGAAATTGGCAAAAATTTATTTTCAACTTCAAATTCAAACGCTTGAAGATAGCTTTTCCATGGTGGAGAATAGGAAAACAAGGGAGGTAATTGTGAGGTAATTGTGTTATTATTTCTGGCGTGAACATTTTTAAGTGTGAGAAAGATAACCTATGATCATATAATAGTGAGTTGACAACCTATTGAGCAAAAGACATAGACATAATTATGTTTTGACTTTCTTAGTAAATATGAAATTGTAACTTTAAGATTTTGATTTTACTCATGAATAATAATCCATGTACGTTCATCCACAATTGCCTGTAAACACCCTCCAATCAGATATTTGGGGCTTCTTTTTTAAAACTTGCTGCATTAGTTCAATGAACCATATAAAGAAGAAGTCTTTAAATTAAGGCTCTATGATATAATTATCTAATCACTACAGGCCAGAGAGAGAAATGGGGTTTAATGTCCACTCGACACAAACTGTCATTTCAGGACTGACTGACATATTGGTCAATTTTATAGGGCTACTTTATACATCCCAGAGTTTTAAAAAAAGAATTTGTTTCACTAAGTTAAGTAGAAAATAAATCTGTTTTAGTTTATTTCTAAAAAATCCTTAAAATTATTGTCAAATATTGATTATAGGCTAATACTAACCAGGTATACTTCTACTGTCTTTTTTTAACTGTCTTCTCGGAATCTCTTTTATTTCATTTTCTTTCTTTTCTCGTTCTTCTCTAGCAGTTCGTGCAGCCATTAACTGGCTTTCTAATTCCTTGTTATTTTTCTTAATATAACTGATCCTGAAGTACGAAATTTCTTGGTGTTTTAAACTTACTAAATGTTTCCTTTATATAATTTTTATTCATAAACCATTTACATGTATTATCATTGATAAATATATAACTAATATTGTAAACAACAAAACTTCAGCAGAGAATCAATTGTTAAATGAAATTAGTATATTGTATTAAAGCTTATAATGTTTAGAAACTAAGATTTCAAAAACTTGATGTAACCTTAATTTATAGACTACTAAAAAATATTTCAATATCAAACAAATTGTCACCTTTCCTCCAACTGATCTGCTCGTTTTCGATAGTTCCTGATAGTTGAAGGTTCTGAAGCCATAGCTTTCAATCTACCTTGCAAAAATACAGCTTCTTTTTGACCATTAGTGATAGCATCAATTGTTGTTTCATATTCTTTTTTAATAGCTGTTAATACTGGTTTATATGCTGTAACATGTTCTATCACCTATAAATACACACAAATTCTCTTTAAAAAAGATACAAAAATGTAATTGGTCTGTAGTGTAATAACAAGTTGTTTCCATCTATTCCTTTCACTTTATGATGATGATTAGCATTGCCATTACTTACTCTATTGAAAACTGATTTATATATCAGATAATTTTGTTCTTCATCTGCTTTATGACCAAGTTTCACCAACTCTTTCTCTACAAACTTGTTAACTTCTTGTAAAAATATTCTATCTGTTTCATTGGTAACTATGGGTGGTAATTTACTAAATGTAGATGAGGAAAAACTGCTTGAAGAATCCATTATCATTCTGCAGTTGGGAGTTCCTCACATGTGCTATATAGTATGGTATTGTTGCTCCGTTTTTCACCTAACCATAATTCCTACAATTTCAAAGATGAAACAAAATTTCTTGGAACATTTCCTACTTGTCAAACTATATCAAAACATGAATGATTTTTGTAGCTTACTACAATCCAATATGCAAAAAAAAACCCAACTTTAAACTACAAATTAAACATTTTAATCTCTTGCATAAGTTTTTTAAATTACCATAAATTTGTTTCAACTTAAAGCAATATTTTAAAACTATAAAATTGTACAGCATCCTATTTATTTGGTTGAATGAATCTTATTCACAAAGGAATGATGTACATGTGGATATGAGTCTTTGATTGGGGTTGGACTAATAAATTAACTCTACCATAAAAATGTCAACTTAACCAAAATATAAAATTGACAATTTCATTCTTGACCCAAATCAAACAAGCCTTGTCATTTTAAGTTAACTCATTATAGTATACCGCGGTATTACACTCAAAATATATAATTAGGGTCCTCATTCATATCAATGATCTTCCCCTGAGAGTCAAATCAACAGTTAGGCTATTTGCAGATGATTGCCTACTCTACAGAGCCATAAACTCTCTTGACGACCATTATCAACTTCAATCCGACCTACAATCCCTGGAAACTTGGGCCAAAGAATGGGGAATGTCATTCAATGCTAAAAAATGTTATATTCTCAGAGTATCAAGATCCAAAAAATCAAGCACCTACATCTACCAACTATGTGATACTATTTTAGAAGTAGACAATAACCCATACCTAGGAGTCAACATCAGTAATTCATTGAAATGGAGTAAACACATAAATAAGACTGTTAATAAAGCTCATTCCACATTGGGATTCCTTAGGCGTAATCTACGCAAGTGCCCTAGATCTCTTAAGATTACAGCTTACCAATCTCTAGTACGCTCAGTGTTGGAATATTGCTCATCAATATGGGACCCGCACAGTCAAACGGACATTCTATCCCTTGAGAAGGTACAAAGATCCGCAGGACGATTCATAACATCGGATTACTCACGTGAAAGCAGCGTCACTAAGATGCTTAACGATGTGGGTATAAAACCGCTACGAGAACGCCGGAGAGATCATAGACTTGTATTATTTTACAAAATAGTGAATGAGCTAGTGGCCATACCGAATGACCCTATACTTATTCCAAGTGTTTCTAGAACACGGAAAACTAACTCAAAAAACTATAAACAGATCCAGTGTAATAGTGAACTATTCAGACAGTCCTTCTTTCCAATGACCATTAAAGACTGGAACCAACTTCCAGACAAATCAGTCCTAGCCACATCGGTGGAGGCTTTCATCTCGCATATACGAGATTAAACAGCGCATGCGCACCACCCTCCCCCAGCATAATACTCAGCTTTGAGTGCGTCTGGGTATTAATACAGAAACAGAAACACTGGGCAAAAATAGCAATGCACATGCCAACTTACCAAATCTCGCCCAAGCGAGATTACGCGACTCAGTCATAGAAATATTTTTATGACGCGTTTAATCAACGACATCATATATTTCTGACGTCACACTTTTTTTGTTCTTTTTTTTTTTTTAACAAAATTAATCATACAATTTAGATCTAAATTAAATTAAATTCGGAAAAACGAGATTATTTAATATTACTTTTATCACTTGAAAAAATAAGGTTTTATATTTAACATATCACACGTACCAGCTTCGCTCTACTAGGGAAATGCCTGTTACATATTCATAATACCTATATTACGCTAATTGTGAATAACCAATTACCCATTAATTTTGTTTTAAAAGCACGGCATATACATTACAAACTTAATGTATAAGGCCGAAAAGACTTTATAGTGACAGCTCATTTCAGCTGCCATTTGTAAACAAAGCAAGTTGCAAGGAAGTGACGTCAATCAAAAACAACCTGATATATTTACCCGAAACGAAATTATGGTACACTACTGAAACAAACTAAACTACACGTCCTTGGTGAGTCTTTCTGTGCATTCAGAATGACTGTTCAATAACAAATTGACTAAAATGTCAACAGCAACATCAGTTTAATTGGAATATATTTAATTCTTTTCAGAGTCATTTACTGCTTCAATTTTTAACAGGAAGTTGACAATACAAAATGGAAGAAATTGGGCTTGTTTTACCCGAGAAGGTATAAAAAAAATGAAATTTGTACTATATTCTGATAGCTAAAACACCTTTTTCCATAGAAAAACTTGGTGACAGATGTTTTTTTTAAATTTTTATAGCGCAAGTTTACACAGCAAATTCCATCTATAATAAGAAAACAAACACATGTCGCCATGTTAATTTATGAAAGATCTTCAAATTTTGCAAAATCATGATTTCAAATTCATCAAACTCGCTCACACTCAAGCTTCACAGTACATCGTCTCCCTTTACTTCGGAATGTGATTGCTTAAAGAGACATTCAGAAACAATGATCTTGAGGGCGCGCCGATCTTGAGCAGGACAATCACAATATTCCCAATACTGTACAATTTTCTACTGTCTGAACCATGATTATGGTAAATTATAAACGGATTTCTTCGATTGTGAACAAACTACTGTATAATTGTTATTAAAAACTTGCCTATGTGTTTGAGATCACCTCCGGTTGAATAAAATCCACTGCACAATTAAATATCCCAACCAAAACAAAAGTTCTCTCTTGAAAAGTCTAATGTTTTTGCTTGTATTTTCGACAGTGTCCATCACAACATTACACATGTTACGTGATGAGCTAAACCATCATAATATGTTGAAGGGGGTACAGATTGACAAATTTTGACAATCACGTGTGTTGTAATCAAAACAGCGCACAACCTTTTCAACCGTTTGAGTTTGGGCAACAAAATAGCAACTGAAGACAGACATTGATTGATAGTCTACTTAATTTTTATATCACCGATTATGCGAATACTCGTAAATATAATATTGTTTATCACCCCATAATTTCACCCCTGTATATAATCGTATGGATACATTGCCTTGTGAATTTCAAAACGAAGCCGGGAATTTACATAATAATTGTGTTACCGATCACGCACGATTATAAAATTCTGAACAGTTTGTGCACACCGGAAATAATATTCAGAGAGAAATAGAAAGACATGGAACTATCTGTCGATAATTAAACCGATGTTGATAATAGTTTTTGGTATTTATATAAATGGCCTCGGCTAGTAATTTTGCTGTGGCAAATGTAATATATGTATGTACATCGGCATTTACCTCAGCTACAGCAGATTGCTAAGGTTAATTGACAGGACTGCTTAAGTTCATCAGGAAATATTAAAAATATTCAAGGGTGAGATTCAAGGTCAGTAAAACAAATGCAGTTCAAAAGAAATAATCCCACCAAACTCTCTAACCAAATAATTAATACAAGACGGAAACAAAATACCGGACTACATGCGTATTTATGTTGTAAACGCCCAAACTCAGGGTCTGAGAGCAATAGCTTATTCATACACAAAATTTGAATTGCCGTAAAAAAGCCAAACACCGTTACAATTGACAAGCCTTGCTTTGACCCCCTTATACGAAATGATCTATCCAGATAACTGACGTAATTAGCTTCCATTTTGGTATTTCTCGGTGTCAAAGTTTGTGATGAGTTCAATATTATTATTTTTTTAATTATTATAGCAAAAACTGTCAGCTCTTTATCTAACTAAATCTTACATAATGCAGCCTTAAATTATTCAGTCAGTTTTTTGTTAACAGTGAGGTTTTATTGGTTTAGTATTTTGGGTTTAAATAACCAATTTTTAAAATTTATTTTACAGGAGGAATCTCAGTCTGCTGAATCCCGACCTACTACAGGTCAAGGGTTAAATAATGTTGATCCACTATGTGTTGACATGGAAGACCTGTATGTTAAATACAAGGTAAGTAAACATTTACTAACTGAACTGTAGATAAATTTCGTTTCCTGCAGAATTTGTTTAAATGAAAACAACAACATCCTTTTCTTCTGCTTCATGGCTGATCGTGTTGCATCTGCCCTCATCAAATAGCATGGTAACCAAGACATAATAATTAGTGAATAATGCAATGGAAGGAGCCAGACCAGATCATTTCCACTAACAATTCTGAAGTACAATTTCAAACCAGCTGTCTTCTCGCTAATAGAGAATGATGAATCGTCAGATTTAAGAATCTTGTCAATTGAATAAGCCTAATGGCTTTTTAATTTATATAATACTGGATTTTATAATTACAGAAACTGCAGAGACAGCTAGAGTTTCTAGAAGTACAAGAAGAATATATTAAAGATGAACAAAAGAATTTGAAAAAGGAATATCTCCATGCTCAAGAAGAAGTCAAGAGAATACAGAGTGTACCGTTAGTTATTGGTCAGTTTTTAGAAGCTGTTGATCAGAATACTGGTATAGTTGGATCTACAACAGGTAATGTTATATTTGATTGTAGCACTCATTCTTAATCTTATTTCTAATATCACATCCTCATCTCTCATAAATTTCATTATTTTATTGGGTTATAAAGTTATTACCTAGAGGTCTCTGCTTAGAATCCAACTCTCCTTGTATCAAATCATTGAGAAAATTGTTCAACTGAATTTATTGGGGGTTTTTAGACTCATCTACATGTACCATAATTAGAAACAAAACAATGGATAAGATAAATGATTTTTTATACATGATGACATGAAATAAAGTTGGGTTTTTTTTCAAAAAAAAAAAAGCTAGATAATGAGCCCCATTGTTCATCACAATCTGTTTGAAAATAACCATCTGATTTTGATGGTTTTAAGAGAAATACTAAAGATATATTAATAACTGACCTAAAAATTGTAAATCCCCATAAATTTATATAATTTTATAGTTAATAAGTGTGAATATTTTTCAGGTTCTAATTATTATGTGCGAATATTGTCAACTATTGATAGAGAGTTATTAAAACCATCAGCTAGTGTAGCTCTACATAAACACAGTAATGCACTAGTAGATGTTTTACCACCAGAAGCTGATAGTAGTATTACTATGCTCTCAGCTGGTAAGTATGCAAGTCTAAAACATATTTTATATAGACAGGGTCCAGTGGTCAAAATTGACGATGGCACCCACAGAAATTGCCGTAGTATTTAGCGAAATTACCGTAGAAAATAAATTATGACTATGGCATCTTTAGCCGTGGTAATTTATTTAAGAATACTACAACAGCAATTTGACGATGTTGACACTGAAATCCCTGTTGTATAACTGCGTAATCCACGGCATAATCGAAAGTAGAAATTTATTGTTTTGTCCCTTTCCACGAGTTCTCGTGACTGCATTTTTCTATCGAGTTAGATCTCGAACCACACAGCTAAAAATAGATCGAACGGTGTGGAATTTTGTTTGGCTATTTACCGTGACGTCACATTAGCGGACATACGTAAGCCAGATAGCGACGACACAAGTCGTCACGTGGCATTCGTTCAGTCGTACCATCGTATGGTTACTCAAATAGTTGGAAGTCAAATAGCAGCCAATTTTATAACAATAAATTTCACACCATCTACGCATGTTTTCATCTGTTTGACACTAGTTTATAGCATATGTAAATTGTAAATAAATAAAACACATATCCCCCAAGTCAGCTGACCTAATTCTACCGTAACATCACGTGCTGGTGGCTGGAATGGAAATGTATACGGCTCATCGTTTGGTGTATTTAATCATTTATAAAGTTCAAAACAATTTCCAGAAATAAAGGCTATGAATAATTTACTGGAAAATGTAGCCAAATTAAATAATTAGGTCGGGAAAATATTTCATAATATAATGTCATGCACAAGTGTGAAGTCGTGTTTTGATAATCAATTTACGGTATTACGGATATTTTAGAATCGGAATCCAACACCTCAACTGCGAAGTATTCATTTAAAATGCAAGTTTGGTATGGTACCGTGATACTTATATGTGGTGGAATTCAAGTGGATAAGGATTATAGAATTGCACGAATCTTTGTCGCTCAGCTAAAGCAGATTCGCGGGCTTGCAAGAATTTTTAGGCCTTCTGATTTCTTTGTGGTGACCGAATTCTGTAATAATGATGATGTGTCTGAATAGACATTATAAATGAAAAGATTAAAACCCTGTGCTTTTAGTTTATTTATTATTCATAGTTTTTATCAATCAAAGTCTCCCAGTTTAAAAATTGCGTAGTGACAAAAGTAAATTAAAAAGTTTTGCCTTAGTGTACATAAAACCTGCCGTTGTGAAGAAGGAATTACTGTGGCATTACAAAATTTTACAGAGAGCTTTGTCCATTATTATATTCCAAAACTTGGAAAGTCAAATAGGAAACTAAGATTTGTGTTGAGTCTTATGCCCATAATATTAATTTATTTGTTATTTTTTAGATGAGAAACCTGATGTAATGTATTCTGATATTGGTGGTATGGATATACAGAAACAAGAAGTCAGAGAAGCTGTAGAACTGCCATTGACACATTTTGAACTGTATAAACAGATTGGTATTGATCCACCACGAGGTGTTTTAATGTTTGGACCACCTGGTTGTGGTAAAACTATGTTAGCTAAAGCTGTAGCACATCATACAACAGGTGGGATATAGTATACTATAATTTTTACTTTTAGTAATTTTGATGGGGTCATGATCCATGATCAGGTATGTTAATGCCTACACAGAAAGTGTAATGATTCATTCAGTCACGGTAGTAAACAGTTATGTCTGTGAAACCCTTAGCAGGTTGAATTCAAAAGAATGTCTTTTTGTTAACAGATACGATTATCATGCAATATTACGACAAAATATGTTAGATAGAGAACTCCATACAAAAAATTGTATCGGGTGTTCTAAAAAGAAAGCATATCCTGCTACAAGCATGACACCCATCCAGCTGGCTGAAATGCTGGGTTTAAGTTTATGTTAACTACACGGCCAAAGATAGCCATCAGAGTAACTAGCCAAGTCCTTTAAATACTAAAGTACAACTTAAATTTGTGAACTCTGGAAATAAGAACAAGCTGAAATTCCTATAGATATGGGGGGATCACGGTGGCTAAATGGGTAAGTCGCTGGCTCGCTAGCCTGGAGATTGGGTGTTTGATCCCTGCATTGGCCGAGAAAGTCCATCCAGATTTTCCGGCGTGGTTCCCCCTTGTCAGTGATGCAGGAAGGAGGGCCTGACAAGAACAGCTGTTTGGATGGGACGAAAAACATAGGTCCCGTATACACATTGGCATGCACATTTTGAGATCCCTTGAGACAGTTGGAATTCGATATAAGAGTAGGCTGTAGTGCCGCTGTCCGGGCAAAATTTCCCTCATAGCACACTGTATGGAGTATGCCCATCTTCATTAGCCCAGTTCGCAGTAGGACGTTCAACTCCATTTCATTTCCTATAGATATGCCGGTACAGTTTTCATATAACCATACTGAATATTTTATTTTTGTTTTAGCTGCATTTATTAGAGTTGTTGGATCCGAGTTTGTACAGAAATATTTAGGAGAAGGACCTAGAATGGTGAGAGATGTTTTCAGACTTGCTAAAGAAAATGCACCAGCTATTATTTTTATAGATGAAATAGATGCCATAGCAACCAAAAGATTTGATGCTCAAACTGGAGGTAAGTCCTGTTCATACATCTGCTCATACATTTGATCACTCTGTTTACCTTTCAGATGGTAGGGAAAAAAATTGTAGCTCTTGTAATTAATTGAGTTGTATACTGGATCAAGGTCCCCTGGACAAACTCCCCTACCATCACACTATAGTAATTGTCCCAGATGATGCTTAACCAAAGTTTTTAAGAAACCTGTATTCTTTTTTTATCACAGCTGATCGGGAGGTACAGAGAATTTTATTAGAATTATTGAATCAAATGGATGGTTTTGATCAAACTGTTAATGTCAAGGTAACTATTTATGTTTGATTTTATTCCAAACAAATAAAAATGAACATTCTCCACGGTTTATATATTTCCTAAAATGATGAACACACACTTCAGGTCTAATTTCATAAAAATCAATTGGGCACCCTCTTATTCTTGAATGGTAGTTGAGTGGTTAGGATACTGAACTCTTGATAAAGTTTTGAGTTTTGAAACCAAAACTATCACAGAAGGTATGGAATAGAAAATCAACGATGTAAACAATGATGGTTATCTAACTTGAGGATTAGTTTCTGCAGTGGCAAAATTCCAGGTTTCAGTTCCATCAAATGGTTTTATATTTTTGCAGGTTATCATGGCAACCAACAGAGCAGACACTCTAGACCCTGCACTTTTACGTCCAGGTCGTCTGGATAGAAAAATAGAATTCCCCTTACCTGACAGAAGACAGAAACGACTGATATTCTCGACTATAACATCAAAGATGAATCTAAGTGAAGAAGTAGATTTAGAAGATTATGTGGCCCGACCTGATAAAATTAGTGGTGCCGATATCAATGCTATATGTCAAGAGGTGAGCAGAAAATATATAGAGAGAAAGAAACGGGGCTTAACATCCACTTGACACAAACTAGGTCATTTCAGGACTAACATGGTTCAATTTTATTTCAATAATTCGCTTGCATATAGTATCTTTAGCAGTGGGAGGACCCGGAGAAGACCCACAATCAAAACCTTGCCATTTGGACTCAATGACAGACCTCATGTTGCAATGCACATGTGTTAACCATTCGGCCACCCTGCAGAAAATATATAAAAACTTGTCCTTCTAACTGCTTTGACTTTTGTACTGTTCAAAACAATATTTAGTATGTTCCAAGATCACAATAATATCACTCCAATTAAGTCCATATAATTTTTTTTATTCTTGTTCTCATTTAAAAAGGACAACATGACACGTTTTAATTAGAAAAAATAAAAACCACCTCAATGATTAGCGCAGTCATATTTCCTGGGATGAAGGATGTTTATGGTTAAAACTGGATTCAAACATCAAGTATACAAGAACATGATGAAATTAATGTGATGTTTGTAAGAAACTATTTAGTCACAGTGATCCTTTGACAAACCAAAAATAAAGACCTCCCTTTCGTATCAGATTTATTGTCTGCGAACCAGAATAATTTTTTTACTTGGAAACTTCAGATAACTAACATTTTCTTGTGGACTTTAGTAGTGTGCTCAAGATTTTTTAAGTTGATTATAAATATTAAGGCATGAATACACATTGACACATAATTAATAAAATTTTACACAATTGTATGAAATCCTTACATATTTATTTGTATTTTTGTAGGCTGGTATGCAGGCTGTTAGAGAGAATCGCTATGTAGTGCTAGCTAAAGATTTTGAGAAGGGCTACAAGAATAACATCAAGAAGGATGAAACTGAACATGAGTTCTATAAATAAATTTGATGTTTCTTATTATATTATCTTTTCCAGTTAAGCTTCAAATAAATTCATCTATAAGAATAGTTGGTGTTTAATTTTTATTCTAGACTAAATTGATTGACCCATTTTTTTGATGTCCACAATGGCTTTTATCATCTGGGTGGTACCACCACATACAGATCTACCCACCCATTTTACCTCTTTATAAACTAGATTGTTCTTCCCTTGGCTCAGTAAGACGTTGGCCCACTAACCTGGAGGTGTTTTCTCACTGCGTTGGTCGAGAAGGTTCATCTGAATTTTCCGACATGGTTCCTCCTTGTCAGTGGTGCAAGACCGAGGGCCGGGCAAGTGACAACATATAGTCGTGCATGTAAAAGATCCCCTGGCAGTTGGAATTCAATGTAAGAGTAGGCTGTAGTGTCGCTATCCGGACAAAATTTCCCTCATAGCACACTGTATGGTGGAAACCTGTCTTCATTAGCCTAGTCGGAGCAGAATAGTAGGACGTTAAACCCCATTTCATATCCTTCCCTGGTATTAAGGAGAGTGAGACATGGGTTTCGTTGCGTCTCGTTGCATAACAGTATGACTTGCCTGGACAAGGATCGAATTTGATTGCTGCAAAGAATTGAAATGCATCTTGATTTTGAAAACCTCATCTTACTAAATATGTAACACTAAGAAAAAATACATCTAAATATATTTCCGCTTATTGTTACTGAATAGTAGGATTTCTGTTAACCTGATGTCGACCAAATTGAGACTGTTTTGTTGCTGTTATATCTCAGAACCCTTGACTGATGGAAGTCAATGAAGAGAAGGTGGACACGCCACTGTCTAGGCAAAATTCCCCTCAAAACACACGACTTGTATCATCGGGATATTGTGATGCAAGTCAAAGGAACAATAACTATATGTATAAAGTTGCAATGATACTGGGCTTAAAAATATCACAAACTCAACATTGCAGCAAAAACTCTTATGTGTGATTACTAACAATGAAAATCATTAATGTCAGTCCCTTGAAAGTTGAAATTTGATATAAGAGTAGGCTGTAGTGCCGCTGTCCGGGCAAGATTTCCCTCATAGCACACTGTATGGTGTATGTCTTCATTAGCCCAGTTCGGAGAAGAACAGTAGGACGTTAAACCCATTTCATTTCTTTTCCTCCTTGTGACAACCCAAATAATTCCCAGCATAACAGAAAAAAAAAATTGGAAGAACTTAAAAGTATTACAAAATATTGGACTACTGGATGGAGAAGAGTGACAACAATATACCCCATAAAGTGGACATGTGGACATATAAAAATAAAAGTGTTAAATGTCTTGATTTCTTAAATTATAAATAATTGGCTAAGAACTTATTCTCACCAAAAATTTTTGAAACAGCAATGACCATATGCAGTGCTCACTCTGGGTTTCATTTTTTTTTCCGCCAATGTTGCATTTTAATTTACTAGCCATATATTTTCTCCGCCAAAATATAGAACAAATATCTATTACATTTTTCATTATTTTGTTTTACATAGTACATACAATATACATATGATATTACAATTTTACAATATCCTTCTCTGCTGCCAGATAGAATATTTTATCGCCAAAATTATATTTTTTCGCAATTGGCGGCAATGGCGATCGACAGCGTAAGCGCTGACCATATGACACTAGACTTAAAGCCAATAAATCTTTCAAGAATCACAATCTTGAGGTTTATAAAGTTTTTAATTAAAGATGTATGATCAATCATTCTAGTTTTTCTGGATGAGGAACATAAAACTCTTTACACTTTGCAAGTCTTGATTTTATTTTGTTAATAATAGCACTATACAATACATTTCTCCATGTCATCATCCATTGATTTCATAATCATGTTGTTTATTTAATGAAGAGGCTTTACCTCTCTGAAGCTGTAAGATTTCATGGGCATTGTATATAAATGTAGATTTAACTGTGTAAATCAAATGCCAAAATATAAAGAAATAACTTATTTACCTTTGCATTGCAAGATTTGCTTTTTCCTTACACTATAACTTGGGCTAGTATATAGACATGATTATCCTGGTAAATTCATAGCAAGGAATTTACATCACATTTAGAGAATAAGACCTTGTTGAAATGTTTATTGTAAATCTGTATATAACATCAAGTAAGATACAAGTGAACTGTTTGTTGTCTGTTAGTTGGTAAATCTGTATATAAATCCATACTAAACTCACTGTCAGTATTCACTTTCTTATAGTGAATTATATGATTCTTTAATTTCTGAAATATTCATAAATACATGTTTATTGCAGACATCTATTATTACTAAGAAACCATTGTTGGATTTCTGGCTTAGTTGTATGACTTCCGCTTTTCTAACTATTACTATACAGTGTATTTCAATCTTTGTGCCCTCTTCTGTTAACTTCAATTTCATACAAGTGTACAATATTTCTGGTAAAATTCCAATTGTTAAGAAAATGCACGAAATGTACCTTCATAAATGTCATACTTTTGAGATAACTTACTTCATTTTGAATAGTTTTTACCCAGGACCACATATTCCTTCTAAAGCTTGTATTTTGACTATCTTGTGTAAAATATAGGAAACGATTAACATGATGTACAGCTATAAGATATGGTACAGGAGTTCTGATTGGTGTAATTAATTGTGATGTCAGATGTGTAAAATAATGTTGTAATAATGACGCATCTGTTTCATCAGGTTCCAGATATCTCTCTATAGGTAACAACAACTGAAAATACATCATAATATTAATTATAATCATTAACATTACTGAATAAAAGATCCAAATATATTTTATAGCGTATAATAAAGTCTGACCACAGTAAACATAATAGGTTTATACAACTCGCACAATGCACATTTTCATCAGTTTTAGCCTATGCGAGTGGATTTCCTTTTTAATGTCCATGAATGTGATTTGAGTGATATAGGAATCCCTTGGAAAATATAATATTGTAAAAGTTTTAGGATTATCAGTCCAAAAATGGTGCAATTCCGTTCAGACTAAAATTGCACTGACCATACTGCTCCTTATGTAAATAGTACACTGCCATCCTTCTTGGACGCTACCCTGCAAAAGGCATTGTGTCTTTATCATGGAAACGAGATCAAATGGACCTTTTATGTAATCTCACATCTCCATTCCAAGCTGGTCTAAGCCTACTTTTTGGCTTTTTCTGGCAAGTTTCTTAGGAAACACTTGTCTGCGATATAACCCAAGATGGAAGCGGACATACAACCCCAACAAAAGAACGATATTTTGATTTTGTTTTCTTATTTAAATGTTAAATAATCAATCTGAGTATATATCAGCATGGATTAAGCCGTGAAAAATTGGATATTTTCCGGGGGAGAAAAAAAGGCCAATAAAGCATCATTACTTTAATTTATGCTAATTTCACTGATATAATTATGGTAGATCAGCAGGGAATGAAACAATCATGTATAGAACAGGGCAGAATACTGCTGTATGGTATTATACCTTATCAAAATGAAATGTATATTGCACAATCATACCATGTTTCACCATAAATACCATTCAGTTCTATAACATACATCATTCCCATAATTAAAACAAATTTTAAAATTAAACAAGTACCTCTTGTACAGAAACTAGTAAAGCTCGTAAAGCATCATGATGTTCTCCCCATAATAACAGACGTAGGTCTATAGAATGACATTGTTGTAATGGTATTAATAAATAACTACCAAAAACAGAATCACCAAAAGATACAGCAGAATATTGTTCTAACAGAGATTGATAGCTGAAAAAAAAAAAAAAATGCAGAGTACAGTTTCAGATTCAAAATGTAGTCTGTTGATACAAGTGAGTAAAAATATGTAAATAAAAGGTAAAAGATGTAGGTCCTACAACAGACATAGAATATTTTTGTAAGTAAAGCGGGATTATGTCACCTGCAACTACTTGCAACTTGAATCTCAGAAGGCTTTATGTTGACAGCAATCACATCCAACTCACCCCATGACACCAAACTAAAATCAAAGGAACCACATGATAGTCATGTGATTAGTACAAATTGGCGACACTACCCTCAAAATTTATCAATAAATTTCTTTGAGGACGTGTCATAAAGGCATAGCCTTAAATACTTACAGATCAAAGAACGAAGCTAAACCAGGTATAGTTTTTGTAAAATCTATTTGAGGTAATAATACAGGTTTTGTATATTCTCTTAATAAAGCTGCCAGGTAACTTCTGATAGACTTTTCGAGAAATAAATTATTACCTACAAAAAATATCAAAATAAAAAAAAAATTAAAGACTGAAACAATCTTAATGACATTTTTTTTTCCTACTTAAATCTCTAATAGATGTCTTTCTGTATAACACAATTATATACATTACATATCAGCACCTCTGTACAATGTTTATAATAATATGACTTCATTGAGAATCCAGAAATTCTTCTCTTACTGAGGGTAGTTACAACAAATGGTCACATTTTGTAGATGCTTATAGAGAATATAGAAGTTACGTTTATTAATATTATCCTTTTATTTGGTTCATCGCTAGAATAACCATTTTAAGAAGAGCAATAATCAAATTATTTGTAGAATTTGAATTTGAATGATATAGAATATGCCCCAATACTTTTATCATAATCTTTTAGGAAATAAATTCTTATAGACAGATAATTTCTGTATTCTGTTCATATTTTAGTACAGATATTACTGAATGGTAAATTTGAGAAGGAACTTGAATTAGTTCACTCTGCACATTGTGTTTTACTTACCAGCAAGAAATGTACACATAATCCTTGATAATTTCAAAGTAACAGAAACAGGTCGTAATATTTCAGGACGTTCACATTCTAGTAGAAAAATCCATTCTAGAACACTTCCAACCATTCTGATATTCTGGGCTGGCATGTGATCTTGATAATGAGAGCCACTAGAAAAATATAATATACCAAAACAATGAAAAGTTCAACATGTATCTGATCAACATGTTGTAAAATTCAACTAACCCAGTATAGCTAACATGTTATAAAATTCAACAAACACATGGCTAACATGTTATAAAATTCAACAAACCCAGTATAGCTACCATGTTATAAAATTCAACTAACCCAGTATAATTGACGACATGTTGTAGAGTTCAACTAACCCAGTATAACTGATGACATGTTGTCGAGTTCAACTAGCCCAGTATAACTGATGACATGTTGTAGAGTTCAACTAGCCCAGTATAACAGATGACATGTTATAAAGTGCAACTAACCCAGTATAACTGATGACATGTTGTAAAGTTCAGTTAACCCAGTATAGCTAACATGTTATAACAGTTCAACTAACCGAGTATAACTGATGACATGTTATAAAGTGCAACTAACCCAGTATAACTGATGACATGTTGTAAAGTTCAATTAACCCAGTATAGCTAACATGTTATAACAGTTCAACTAACCGAGTATAACTGATGACATGTTGTAGAGTTCAACTAACCGAGTATAACTGATGACATGTTGTAAAGTTCAATAAACCCAGTATAGCTACCATGTTATAACAGTTCAACTAACCCAGTATAACTGATGACATGTTGTAGTAAAGTTCAGCTAACCCAGTATAGCTAAACATGTTATAGACTTCAACTATCCTAGTATAGCTGACATATAGTTGAGTTCAACTAACCCAGTGTAGCTGAAATGTTATAGAGTTCAACTAACCTGACAGTGGACATGTTATAGAGTTCAACTAACTTGAAAGCAGACATGTTTTAGAGTTTAATTACTAACCTGACAGCGGACATGTTGTAGAGTTCAACTAAAGGTAAAAACATCCAATCATGTGGTAATAAAGTTTCATCTATTCTACCAGTTAATAAGCTCTCTGTCTTCCTGGTATTATTATTATATCTCTCTCTATATAAAAAAAATATAGATTAACATAACACTCATTTCTAAATCAGGATTTACATTAAAGTCAAAATAATCCTGGACTACATTTTAATGTTTTGGTTATATTAATCTGAAGTTCAAACTTGGGATCATGATACAATTTATAAAACAATATATCAACTGGTGTATATTGTTTTATAGAAGAATTTATGGAATGAATGATAGATATACAAAGCTTGTTTTATTGTCTGTCAATTTGAGGTCATCCTTGCTTGTTTATACACTAGTTAAACAGAACAGAAGATATACAAGTGCTATGTTACAGCTTTGATGGTACAAGTGTTTGCTGAAAACATCTTCAGTTAGTTTTTAGATTATGTAGAGAAGAGAGTCCTCTCTTTTCTTGAATCATCCAACTGATAGATTATTATTGTCATGAGAAAATGTTACGGTTTTCATACATGAAAAAACAAAATACTAAACGGATTATGATAATAACCATACCTTGATTTTGAGCTCTGTGCTTCTTTTCCACTGAATATTGTAATATATACTGATTTTATACTTCCTGATAAAAGATTATTTCTGGCTGATTCCATTAACTGGCTTGTAATTAGAATTATCTCCTCCTGAGTGGCACTCTTTAATTTCTTTACTTCAGTCAGTTGTAGATCCGCCATTGACTGCAAACCTTCATCACTACTTCTTGCTTCACTGATGATATATACATATACATCTTTTAAACAAGTACTACAGTCTTACATTTTGATGGCTCGTGTCAATTATACCGACCAAAATTATTTCTACTTTTTCAAACAATGAAAATGATTTAAAAAATACAAACCATCAACCACAGTACTATCTAATATATGCTGATGTTATTTTAAGTTTGTCTTTATGAGGAGTGAAAACAAAAGATTACATGCCGAACAGTAGTTTATGACTCTGTTCAGGTTTGGGTTGTATCAACATATGTCAATTTTAAACACAATTTCAACAAATACAAACCTGAGAAATTGAGGTGAAAATGTAATATAGGAGAAGAGATCATGTATTAAATATTCATCACCATGTTGTAATCTTGTTAACAGTTGTAATGATGCATGGTGCATTACAGACATGTTACTGGATTCCTGTATATACAAAATACAAAACAAAATGTGACTTAATCTAATTAGTTCAGCTGCCACATTAACGTGCACCATTTTATGCATACGAGACAACCATTTTTCAAGAGATAATCAAACCCAAATCAGTCTTTATTCTATAAATACATCTTGGGCAAGAAAACTACCAAGCTAACATGCCTGGTCGGATTAGTTTAAAGATTTGCATTTCATTTTTAAATAAGGTAAATTTCCGCTACAAGACTATCGGACAACGATAAGCAGATCAAGTGTACAAAGCATGTTAAATTTGGTCATAGCGCACAATATAACTGATTAATAAAATATTTACATACCTTCAGTGAACAGAGTTTTAAGATCTGATATTGGAATATATTTTCATATTTAGTAAAATAATTGGAATAAAGAGCACCAGGTTTATGCTGACAAATCTTTCTCATATAACTAATAACATCTTTGTCATCTACAATATCAGGAAGCATCTACAAAAGCAACATAACTTGTTTAATCATTTAAATTTAAACATTAAAAAAAAAAACAGTTAATAAATCCACCACAAACCCCATATTTAAAAATATGAAAAGAAAAAAATAATTGAGGATGTCAAAGATTGTTTAACTTAAAAATTGGAAATATCAAAGTTAGTTGGGTCAAAAATACCCAATCAGGTACGAAAAGGAAAAAATAGTTAATCATGACAGAATATAGGGTGACCTTCGGTTGCACGGATTTCGTACTATAGTCGAACCATCTGCATGCGAATGGCATTTAGTTCAACCAGTGGTCGTGACCAGCCGTACCATGTGATAAAGCACGGTCGGGATAGTTCAAAGATGGCTGACAAAACTGACACTTGAGAAGATTTTCTGAAAAATATAATAAAATTGCCGATTGCCGTTGCGTTATTTACACCTTGGTCGGTATTATATTGCCCATGTTAACACCTGAAAGTTAATGAATAGGCATTGTAGTAAGATGTTAAATTTGATTTTTTTTCGTATTTTTTTGATGAATTTGACAGATTAGGATCTTATTCGAATATATATAGGCACACGACAAAAAACTGTACGTGTGAAATGATCTTGGTTGGGTGACATAAATCCAATGAAAAATATTCTGATATTGACTAATCCTATTTGTAACTTTCACATCACAGTATGGAAAATTAATCAGTTTTTAAAAATACATGAGTAAATAGGAGAAAATATAGCAGGCGGAACAACTGACATGGTCGCCGTCATATTGAATAGTCAATGGCTAGGGCCATTTGCGTTTGGGTGCTGGTTCAGACTGTAGTTGCGACCATAGTCTACATCCGAAGGTCGCCCAGTAAATCAGGTCATGTGACAATGTTTACAGCAATATTTAGTAGTAGGAAGTAGAACCTTATAATTGTAAATTTGAATATAGATACCTGTTTGATAATTCCCTTATGTAATCTACATAAACTTGATATCAATCTTAAATATGCAGTTAGAAAACCAATTGGTGTGAATGTCTTTAATATAGGTAGTGTTGTATGAATAAGTAGACAACTAGCACCATAACTTGGTAAACAGCTAGACACTTCTTCATGTTTTAAAACATCTGATAGGATATTAGAATATTCACTGAAAAATAAACACAAAACAAAATTGTAAATACATAGTAGTACTACCAGCAAAATTTTAAGCCTGGGGCCTGTTTCACGAAATTTAACTAAGATAAAATCCAAATTTTAGTAATTTGATTGGATAATATTAGATTGATTTTAGTGCTTAGCCAATTAAAATTGAAGTATCTACTAAAATTTGGATTTTATCTTTAGTTAAGATTTCGAGAAACAAGGCCTAGGTTATCAAGTTTTCAGGGTCAGGGGGAAACAATTAAAATGGGCAAATATTTGCCTGAAATATCAATCTAATAGTAATGAGAAAACTTAACACATAGATTACATTTAAGGTTTCGGTGTAAGGTACATTAACTCCACATAGAACTGATGTGCAACAATTCCAGCTAGTTTGAATAAAACTCTGACCTGTAGAGAGTTTACAACATTGTGAACAGATATAAGGATGAAGACATAATATTTGAAATTTGGATGTGCAAAAATAGATGTTAGTAAATAAAACAGTATGATGGAGACAATATAACACATTTGGATTTTGTACATTGATTTTATACATTAACGAATAGGAAGAATTGATATAATTTGATTTTAGAACCCTGTTTTAAACTAACTGTGAGTGGTCAGAATTATCTTGTTCTGATAGAAATGAAATGGGGTTTAAACTATTACTGTTCTGTACTAACCAGGCTAATTAGGATCGGCAAACATCATGCAATGTGCTATGACAGAATGTGCTATGAACTACTTTTATTTCAAATTCTTTTACAAATGAACGCCAACGTGTATACAGGACCTTGGATTAACTAGATATTGTTCATTGTCAGGCCCTCCGCAGTCCACTCTGCACCACTGGCAAGGGGTGACCACATCGACTAACACTGAGAGTGAACCCGAGACCTCCTGGTTAGCAATCCAGCACCATACTCACTGAGCCACTGTGGCTCCAAGCTCTAAATGACGACAAGTAGAATTAAGATGATTGGTGGTGATTTTAAGAATGATTTGAATACATATATTTTACATTATATATATATACCTGATATTAACAAGAATGTGTCTAAATCCCAGTGACTTCCAAAACGGTGTTAACACTTCTTCACACAACTTTTCGATATGTTTCAAAGTGTCTACTGGATTGTAACCAATCTAAATTTAAAACGATTATATTATAGAATTTTAAATCAATCACATTTAATAAATTAAGTCTATCTGTAGATCAGCAATCACTCAATAACAAAACAGAATTGAGATAGGTTTGAATGAAAGGAGTACAAACACATATCATGCTCAGCATACTTCATTTTCCCCTAAGGTAAAAAGAGTTATATGTATATATTTTTTATTGTGCTAATTGAAGAATGTATATAAAAGAATACATCATCTATAAGAACTACTAGTTAAGTATATCTACCTGACTATCTGCTCTATAAAAGTAGGATGCCATAAAGTTTGTCAAACATGTTACCATCTCTAAATCTATTTTCTGAAATTATCAAAAATATTGTTTTTCAAATTGATTCTAATGTTCATGCATGTACTAAACTGACAAATTTCTCAAAATATTGTACATTACATTTGCCCCTGAATTAAACAGTAATGTATTGACACATAAAAAGATTTATAAAACCAAAATATAGTCGATTCTGGGTGAAACCAGAATATCATGTTTATCACTAATGGTAGGAAAATTCCTATTGCATCATTTGGCTTAGTAACCAAGCTAAAAACATGATTTTTCATATAATCAGAGGTCATAATCCAGGAAGTTACGAAAGGAATCAAGATCTTTGGATTATAATCGTACATTTCAAGTTTCATCAAAATCAGATGTGTACAAGGAGCGGCCATTTTGTCCTGCAGTTTTGGTCTGATTTTCACAAAATTTGAACTAAATCATCATTAGGGTGTAACAATGATATATTCAAACGTTTTTTTTTTTTAAATCAGATCAAAATTGTGACCTCTAGAGGGACCATAAGCTTAAAACACGATTTTTCGTACAATCAAGGCCATAATTCAGGATTTTACGATCTTATATGCGTGAATATCCAAAGGAACCAAGATCTTTGGGTTATAAACATGCATTTCAAGTCTCATCAAAAACAGATGAAAATGGTGACCTCTAGAGTGTCCACAAGCTAAAAACGTGATTTTTCAGGAGCCATAATCCATGAAGTTTCTATCCGATACATACTAATATCAAAATATTTCATGTTTCGTCAAAATCGGATAAGAATTGTGACCTGTAGAGTGTCCACAAACAAATTGTGGATGGACAGACGGACGGACAGGGACTACGACAATATACGTCCACATGAAAATGTGGGCATATAAAAATATATACACAACGTGAGTCCTAAGAAGAGAATTACAAATATAACAAGAGACAATAATAGACAATCACAAGGCTAATAAAATATGTAGCAGAAGAGAATTTGTGTCACACGCTGGATGTGGGGAGTTTTTGGCTTAGTGGCTTTCTACATCTAGTCAGCAACTCATAGCACTGCATGGTGTTACAACTGTCATCTCTCCATCTCATCTTACCCAATGCCTAATGTCAATATATTTACAGCAATTACAATTATCCTTTATAAACAAATTCTACAGACTGATTTTAACAGGAAAAACAAATACATATCATTAAATGTGTGAGGTCAGATGAAGTATTTGTGTATTACCTGAAATTGATAGTTATTACCGATGTATTGTAAATGATGTGTTAAACATGGTAATATTGTATCTACAACACTAGATATATTACTCCAATCTAATATACTATCATCACTCTCCATCTCCTCTTCTCTAAATAAAACACAAAACAATCATATATAAACTCATATAGATGCTTTACAAGCTTTCTACTTTTATACAATGGGAAGAAATGATGCTGTACCTTTATGTCCCCCAACCCCACCATATAGATGCTTTAGAAGCATGTGCTTTCTACTTTTAAACCATGGGAAGAAATGATGCTGTACACTCAATACCCCCCCCCCCCTCCCAATGATTTTAACTTGTAATCTTCTATTCTGATAACATTAATGAAGTGTCTTTTGACTAATAAAGTGTCTTTTGGCAAATGAAGGATCTTTTGACAAATGAAGGATCTTTTGACAAATGAAGGATCTTTTGACTAATGAAGTGTTTTTTGACTAATGGAGAATCATCTGACAAATGAAAAGACTTCTGATGACCAATGGATAGTCTTCTTACAAATGGAGAAATTTCTGATAAAGCTTGTAAAGAATAATTCTGACAAACTTACTGGTTATTAAAAGAAGTAGATATTTTAGGAAGTGCAGCAACATGTAAAACTGATTCTAGAGTTGATATCATTACAGTATGTTCACAAGGTTTATTGTTTAATACAGCTTGTTGTGATGATTGTAAATTCTTCATAAATACAGAATACAGATTTCTGAAGAAAATGTGAAATAAAACTATGTACATAAAATTGAAGCAAAAAAATTATGTTAGCATGATATAAAGTTGTTATTATCCTTACCAGTGCATGCATATACAAACATCCGTTTCGAATTGATTTTTTGTCGGAATGTTGATAAAGTAAGCTATAGTATTGTTATAAATGCACAACTGCATGTAACTCTTAATAAATGTTTGTTGTACATGCATATCTAACATTAGTTGCGGTTTATCTCAAACAGAATTTTCATGGTAAAATGTTTCCAATTTTTCTAGGCAATTCCGAAATCACAAAATACTTTGTTGAAACGATTTGAAGGTTACACAAGTATGATAACACTTTCATATTTTTATGTATTGCACCAATTTACTCAGCCAGTGAAAATTATTATCATTCAATAACTATAACCTGATGAACTGAGGACAACTGTGGATATTATATCAAATACAGTATGTGATTTTTAAATATGTAGGCTAGTTATTGGACTGGAAAAGAATTGAGTTCAATGTCTCAAACACAATATTTCAGTCATTTTGAGATTAAAAGGTGTATTTTTTCCTATTATCATATGTGTAATTTCCATCTACTCTTCATCAAATTCCAACTGCCAAGGGTTCTTTTACATCCATTTTTTGTCCCATCAGAACGACTAGACACACTTTCCTTGTCAGTCCCGCTAATGCCACCCCTAGCAAGTAAGAACAGGGCTTGAAAATTCACAAAGGTTCTTATCACCACAAGCCGGCATCCAAAGCTCAGACACCCTAGTTGAGATGTCATTGTCCCCTGGTTCGTTCACTGTGGCACAATATTATTTATTAATGGTAATTAATTAATAAGTTTACTTACAAATATAATTCTCCAGCTAGACCATATGATAAACAAATCTTCCAAACAATATATGATTGTTTCTGTAAGTTTACAGCAACACTTTCTGGTAATTGTAGATCACTGGAAATGCAGAAAAAACACAAGAATTTAATAACCAGTAATTTTTTTATAATATAGTTTAAGATGATATTATCAAATACAGTAAAAAAAAACATTTTTTGCAGTATGGAATTCTGTTCTATTGCAGGAGCTATAAAGGTGTAAAATGTGACTAAGAATTGTTCGATCTGGACCAGATCACAGTTAAAACTTTTCAAACAAAAATGACACATAAAATAAATGAGGCCTGCTTACAGTGTTATTAGCATTTCTTGCATCAAAACAATCCAATTATTAATTTTGTTACAGTATATTAACACTGTAATAATATGTATAGAGCTTTGAGCCAGATCTAATTTTAATAAAACAGACAAAAATTATCATTTTAATCATTTACCTGGCTGGTACAGCTATATACCTTTGTAGCACATCTTGTAAATTATACGTTGACATCTGTTTAAATGAAATAAATATATGATGCTGTTAGTATATTATTATACACCAAACCCTACCTAATTTTCATGTATTACTGGTTTTATTGTTAACCATCAAGATATGCCCACATTTTGTAAGAGATAGATAGAGAATAAGCTAAAAACGTGATTTTTGGTACAATCAGGGACCATAATCTAAGAGGTTATGGTATGAAGACTGAGATCTTTGGGATTAAAGATATATTTTAAGTTTCTTCAAAATCAGACAAAAATTGTGACCTCTAGAAGGTCCACAACCTTCGTATTACATACTTGTACACAATTTGCATACAAGGAGCAGCCATTCTATCAGACAATTTCGCTTCAATTTTCTGGAAATTCAAACTCCACCTTCATTATGGTGGAACGGTAATATATTTAAACGTTCTTTAAAACCTGATAAAAATTGTGTCCTCTAGATGATCCACGAGCTAAAAATGTGATTTTTCGTACAATCAGGGGCCATAATCCAGGAAATTATGTTCAGATATGTGCAAATATCCAAAGGAACTGAGATCTTTGAGATATAAACATGTGTATGGCGCTATTGCGTGTCGCACATGCAGCTCAGTGGTTCTGTTGGGGCGATAAGTTCTTCATCTGTGAACATACTCTCAAAGCATGTCAAGTGTCCATGACTATTTATCATATCACAACCTGCATAGGTATTTGCATTTCAAAATCCCCTACTTTTTTTTGAAGAGTATAGTTCGCAGTATTTATATTTCTGCTTTATTAAAATTATTTCAATCTGCAAAAAAGCAATGATTCCTTTGGAAAATCAAAGCATTCGTCAAGAAATTGAATAGAAGCAGGGATAATTCTAACGGTATTGGTAGGGTGGAAAAGTGAGCGAGAAGTCACATGACGTAAACAAAGCTCTTTATCGGCATTTGCTAACTTCATGGAATTAACACTCTTGAGAGATTGTAACGTTATTTATTGCTATTTATTCATCATTAAACAATAAAATATCGAAAATAACATAAAAAGAAAGACATTTTTTAAATATTTATGTTAAATATCATCCAGAAAAATCAAAACCGCGGTATGTTTGGTTTTTCAATATTTTTCTGAAGACGGTATTTTTGACGGTTTTTATTTCTATGATGGTTTTATATCGAAAAACCGAAATATCGCCCAACTCTACTTGTAGAGTGTCCACAAACAATTTGTGGACAGACGTACAGGGGCGATGACAATATATGTCCACATAAAAATGTGGGCGTATAAAAATGTAAGAGCTCTGTGGATTTTATAAGAAATCAACAAATAGAACTGACATTTAAAAAAATTTCTTACCCTGGGAAAATATTCAAATTAATCAGAGTTTCAGTAATTTATTCAAATCACCAAAATGGATGTCTCTAACATTCATTTAAATCTGTCTGTTAGATATATAAATTAAAATTGTAATTACCAATATTGCTGTCATATTTTTTCCAGCCTTGCAAATGGCTGCCATAAACTTCAAGGCTTCTGGTAAAGGATAACTTCTGGCTTCAAACATCTGTTTTTCAGATTCTATAATGAAGACCAAGAAGAAATATAAAATGGTTAGTACGATTTAATTTGGGTAAAATATAAAATGTTAAACATACATTATGCTAGAGCTAAATCTGCCTATTGCAGTTCTTTCATTAGGCCTGAAATGTTATCTAAATTATTAATTAGACATTAATTAACTTGTTCAGATCAGAATCAACTCTCGATGTCAATGCTAGCCTGCGTTATTTACTGGATTATGATCAGATCTGCTGCTCAACTTTCACTCATGATTTAATCATGAAATGGATAATCGAGACTGTTTTTATCGGACCGACTTTAGTAATGGTGATCGAGGCTAGGCCGAAAATTCAAGCGCTAAAATCTTGGTTAAGAGTGGATCAATTTAAATGAAGGTTTCAGCAAATTCCCTTTACATTATCTAGTTTTTAACTATTATAGTGAAAACTTTCAGCTCTTTATCTAATCTCCCATAATGTATCTTTAACTTCACCAGATTATATATGTTGATATGTTTTGTGCGCTAGGTGACTGCCTTTCTTCTTAACAAATATTGGATCGACACAATAAGCCCAAATTTAAACTAAATATTAGTATGTTATTGTATAGAGCTTGTACCATCACTAATTAGAATAACACATTATCAACCATATTCAGTTAGTTAATTTAGAGATATAACAAAAAAGGTTGTGATATTAAAAAAGATAAATGATTCCAAATTTAGTTAAATCATTATGCAATCAGTGAGTAAAGAAACATACCTAAAGAAATCCATGTTGATGGTAAAAATTTGGTAAAAATATACTTCAATATACCAGGGAAATGGACAATCTATGAAAAAAGAAAAATTGGGATACTGTTTCTAAGATAATCACACCGAATCAAAAAATTAGTACACAAAATGCTTAAGAAAGTATAAGGGAGATAACTCTTCTAATACCTATTATCTCCCCTTAGACCACAGTCATCAGTACTGAAATAATAAGTAAAATGATTTTTTAACCAATATAATAAAATAAACATTATCCTTACCTCATAAGCTGTTGAAGGAGAATGATAAGCTACACGAGTTAGTATAGATAATATCTGAACAATTGTGGGAGCTGATAGATTTTTCTCCACCAGTAAATACTTTAATCTGGGTATCAACATCATTCTTGATACCAATGCCTAAAATAAAACAATTACCTCATCTAACACAGGTTGAGACTAAGTATAAACAGGTGTTTATTGTCCACAAGCAGAATATTGCAAAAAGTTAGTCCCAAGCATATCACTTTGATGATTCATAGATTTAACCATATTTTATTCACTAGATACAAAACAAGTCAATGGCTCATATAAATACTGTAACCCAGCCAGACTATTATAACGGTTCATATATAATCACAAAAATCTAATTACTTGCACTAGATCCCTTCTAGCCATTTGATCGTCTGATTCTTGTGGTTTTTCTTCATCATTATCATCCGATGTTACATCATCTGGTGGTGGACATATTAAAGACGGCTGAACTAGACCTTGATACCAACAATATATACTATCTAAACAATTCTGAAAATACATATGGCATTTCACTATCTATTATTCATCTTTAATATTTGTTTTATTACCTATTTTCATTTATTCAGTATTTATTTCCATTATTCAGTATTTATTTCCATCATTCAGTATTTATTTCCATTATTCCGTATTTGTTTTCACGATACATTTCCATTAACAATTTCTATTTTCATGATTCATCTTTATTTTCATTATCTATTTTTATTTTTTAAAAAATGACTAGATCTATAGGTATTATCAAGCTGAAAAAGGGACAGTGACTTTTCCCTATTTACTGATCTACTGAACTGACCTGATCAGTGGTATTACAGATTAAACTATAAACACCAAATACAGCAGCCATCTGTATACTTTCATTACTGTCATCTAACGCCCATCGTAATAAAAATATAATACCAGCATTTAATACAGTAGGTAGAATAGCAGTTTTTATATACTCAGCATACTCTCCTTCTTTACACTGAAAACAATTTCAAATATTCAATATTATGTGACTAAGCTTGAATACTGGCATGGTCACCCTTAAAATCCACTGCATAATCAACAGAATGGGATTTTATTTCAACAATTTTTGTTGTTCTTTGTAAATAATAATAATAAAGTTGTAATATAATTAGTTTTACCTTTATCAATATCTTAGCCAGGAGATTTAAAGCCAATGCTCTCTGTGGAATATTAGAACTTCTTGCTAAATGAAACAGTTCTTCTAATGAGTAACCCGCTCTCTTCAAAAAAAAATATGTTATAAAGCAATAATCAGCTTACACAAATAAATTATTAAATGAAAATGAAATGAAATGGGGTTTAACGTCCTTCTGTTCTGCTCCTACTGGGCTAATGAAGACGGGCATACGCCATACAGTGTGTTATGAGTGAAATTTTGCCTAGTACTATGGCCTACTCTGCCAAGGGATCATTTACGTACACACTAATTTATACTCGGGTCCACAGTTTTTCGTCACATCCGAACGACAAGACAGCTGTATTTGTTAGGCCCTCCATCCAATTATTAAATGGACAACAAGAGAGAATAAAAGTCAGATATCAAGTTTAAGACGATACACAATCAATAGAACTCTTACCAAAATAGAAATAATGGTCCAAGTGGCCATTTGAAGTTTACATTACTATCTGTGAATTGGTACTGCCATCATCGTTGGACAGCAAATTTGACATATATATCTGAATTTGATTTCTAAGCCATTAACATCCACATTAAGAGTTTAATCTAATCTATATTTTCTGTTTTAATTTTGTAACCTACTATTCAATAACACTTTCCAGTTCCATGTTTGTCTTACTGAAACATTTATTTGTCTTCATTAACCGGTAAGTTGCTAATTTTTAACGGTAAACAAAAATAATATAGATTTTTAGAAGATTTCATACCTCTGGTTCATCACCATGGTGATGTAAACCTTTGTGTACAGGAATACTTGCATCCGCTACTATAAAATTACCATCTAAATCAAATCTTGCTTGCTTCCCCTGAAATAAAACAATATCATAGTAAGGGAATTCAATTCATCTTGATACCTACACTGATAGATTTTATCAACATACGACTCCACATAATTCACAGATTGTCCATTTATCACTATATAAAGAAAAATCTTTTCTTATACTCACCACACAATTGAAAATTGTCAGAAATTTTAAACAGTCATAAGAGATTATTTCCTAATCATATAACAAAATATATGGTACATACCACACCATCTTCTGTTTTAATATCGGGTAATTCTTTTATCCATTCTAATTTATCATATTCTATATTCTCCATACTCATCCAACCTTTCTCACGTTTTACTGGAATATCATCATCTGATATAAACACAAAACAGTTAAAAATTTATAATCTTTCAAAATATTGGACATCAAACTGATCAGCATGACATCTTGGCAAATATATAAACAGTCCTCCATATGGCTACATAAAATAGCATGCAGAAGTGTAAAGGTCTCCAATTCTTCCCAGACTAGTTTGTATTTCTAAGTTTGACTCCATATAATGTGACATCACACATAGAACTATACTGGATGAGATCTTAATTGAGGCTCATGGATCAAAAAATCCAATACAAAACTCTGCAGTAATTGAAATGGCTAAGATATTTAACTTCGAAGTTGAACTGGATTCAGGTTGAAATGTCTGTGATAAATAAGCTTATATAGAATCTTGAATTAGATTTATTACAATCAAATACACGATAAATTACAGTACTCATCACCTGTAAATTGAACTTGTTTCTCTGTTTTAACCACAGATTCACTTGTTTTTATTGATGATGTATCCATTGGAATCTCTTCTTTCTTTCCTGTAGATGTTTTATCTTTTTTCAAGAAGGCAAGTACCTTAGGATCTGTCAAGACAAAAATCATTAAATATACACATTATAACCTGTCAGTATAATCATTAAAATTTTCAAAATTCGAAATAGAAACAGCAGGGACATCCAAATATGTAAAGCAGAATTAAGTTTAAACTTCTGTGCATGGCTTACAAATATCAGAAAGGTGAAGCGCCAGACTACTTGCCCTCATTTTTTGTTTCTTATGACCCTCCAAAGAAATCTGTGGTCCTAACATGAACTACGTCTTGTGGTACCTAACTTTAGACTTTAGTCATTCAGTTCTAGATGCTTGTCATACACTGTACCAAACCTATATAATTCATGACCCTTGACCATATATAATTCATAATCTCTTGACTGTTTAAAGAAGCAGTTAAAGTCTATCTTTTTTCGACTGCTTATTAACATTAACTGTGTTTTTATCTTGTGATAAATATGTCTTAAGCATTAACTTTGATAGATCTGTGCACAATATAAGAACTCACTATTATTATTATTATTATTAAATGCAGTGTTCAAATTAGGAACATTGATTACAAATTTTTGAAATACCAATTTCATAAACCAATGAAATTGAATAGCAAAACTAAAAAGCAAATTATCACTTATTTTAAAAAGTTTCACAAGAAAATATTTTAGCAATTCAAATCAGATTTTGTTTAGCATTTGGTGTATTTTGGACAGCACTTGGGATACAATACGAACATTGTCCATAACCAGTAAGTGACAGAATGGGACAACAGCATTATAAATACACAAAGATATCAGCGTAATAAAAACATTTCTTACCAATACTTTCAAATAATTTTTTCTGTTCTTCAAGTATTTCTGTTTCAGTCATCTCACCAAGTTTAGCAATATTTTCTTGATGAATTTTCTTCACTTCTTTTTCAGCAAACGAAACACTTAATCCTGATCCTCTCACAATACCAGGCATTTTAAATCCTGTATCTTAAAAAAAAATAATGATGAAAACATTATTAATGTGTAACTAATTATAGGTCAGCATAAAGAGCAGATGTATCTTTTCTCATTGAATTCTTAATTTATACCAGGTGCAGATGTTCAAATATATGGCACACTTTCATTACAGTTTTGCCGTCAGAGTTGTGATGGGAACCATGCAATAAACACTTTTCATGGGGTTGCTGCGGACTACTCTGAAAGTTTTGATTAAGTGCTATGTTTTCAAAAAAAGCCTATACGAGGGTGGGCTGAAAATTTCTAAGTCTGAATAGGATAGATCGATTGGGTTGTAACAAGCTTTTGCCACTAACAAGTACAATTATTGAATGAATCATAGACATAAGAACTGCAACTGTAGTGTTATTGTCTTCGTACCAGAACCAAATGAAGTCATCAGAAATGGATAGAACTGGCTATAGTGCAGTCATCAAATAGCTGTAACTGAAAGGACTAACCCCAACACAGATACATGCTGACATGGTCCCCACTTTAGGGTATAATGCCCCTTCCTTTTCCACAGTAAATAAGTGGGCTGTGGAATTAAAGCAAGGCAGCATGAATGTTGATCATGACCTGCGTCCTGGAAGGCCATCAACAGCAACCATTCAAGAAAACATTACTCAGGTGCATGACATGGTGATGACTGATCGACGATTGACCACTCGACATATTGCCAGTGTTGTAGGCATCTCTCATGAGAGGGTTCAGCAAAATATGGCCAACAAGTTAGGAATGAGAAAAGTTTCTGCAAAGATTCCTGACGTCCTGTGACAATCTGCGCCGTTTTGAAGCAGATCCTGATAATTTTTTGGGCCAGATTTGTAACCATGGATGAGATTGAGATCGTTTCCAAAAATGAAAAAGGAACTAGCAGGTCATCATTTGCCTAGTGATGATGACGGCATGTCAGATGTTAACCACTATTTTTAGGGTGGCTTAAAATTTCTTCCTGACTGGCATCCAGGCCTTGCAACATCGCTGGCAAAAGTGTGTACACCACGGAGGGGAATATTAAGAAAAATATACGAAAAATATCAAATTTGTACAGTTCTTTCACAGATACATGTTGGCTTGGAACTTTTCAGCAAGCCCCCGTAAATCTTAGATCAATACATCTTCTTTCCTCTCTCACACTCACAATTTGTTTCGTCAGTTTCTCATTACAAGGTGAGGTGGATGGCTGAATGGTTAACATGTCCGCGTTGCATCATAAGGTGTGTCATTGAGTCAGTGGCTTGGTTTCTATTTCCCGCTTGTACATGACAAGGAATTGGGTCACCTGTCCAACCCAATGGGTTTTCTCCACGTCCTCGGTTTCCTCCCACTGCTAAAGACCACTACGCCCAAGCAAGTTTTTTAAAATAAAATTGAACCATGTTAGTCGTGATATGACCTAGTTTGTGTCGAGTTGACTTTAAATCCCCATTTCTCTCTCTCTAATTACAACATTTTGATCTGTAAATAATGATGATGTTTCATAGTGAAAGGTGACTTTTTTCATGGCAGGGTCGCAAAACTACAAAAGGTTTCAACCACTGAACAGACACATGTGAGAATAGGAATTTATTATGTGGGTGGTTCACCCAGACTTTGTACTATTTGTTTTATGTTTTGTTACATTGTCAATTAGAATAATAACATACCCATGGTTTTTGTTACATCTTCTTCCATGGTTTCTTCTCGTGTAGTTTCGGTTTTAACAAACTGTTGAGCAAATATACTTATTCTCTCGCCAGATGGTTTCGTCTGTAAAGCATGAAATGAAATGTGGTTTAACACCCTACTATTCTGTTCCGACTGGGCTAAAGAAGACAAGCATATGCCATGAAATGTGCTATGAGGGAAATCTTGCCTTGACAGGGTCTCTACAGCCCACACTAATTTTAAATTCCAATTGTCAAGGGATCTTTTACGTGTATGCCAATGTGTACACAGGACCTCTTGTTTTCATCACATCCGAACAACTATACATTGTCCCTTGCCCTCTGTCCTGCAACACTGACTAGGGGAAACCCACTGGAATATTCGGATGGATTTTCTCGAACACAGGACCTCCAGGTTAGCGAACCAACATCTTACTTGGTGAGCCACCGTGGTTCCCAATTTTTAAAGCAATATAGCGAATATCTGATTAAAACATAGATTTTATTTCATTTCGTTTTTTATAGTTCAAATTTTCGTTTTATTTGTCTGCACTACACTAGGATCTGGAAGAGTTGTTACATAACCTTCGTTCCGGATAGCGTGAGGGATTAGCCAATGAAACCATCTGTTACGACGACTTCTTGGTGTACGATGCACAGAACTGTGGGTAAACCACTAGAAACGTCAATGCTGATTGATTAATCAATGTCTGACATCATAGGGTCAAAAGCCGCTCCAAATACAACTGGTATCTTCATGTAGTGTAGGCCATCGAAAGTATAAAAAAAAACCGAAATATAGATCTGTACTTTAATCAGATTGATATACCGAGGGATTTTTTTTTTCAAATTTAAAACTGGTCAAATTTGGCTCATATTTTCTGTAATGGCACACCATTAAACCAATGGGTCCATAGTTCTGATACAGCTCTTCTGATTGTGTGACAGTTACCGTTTAGGACTGTGCAACAATAATATAATATATGCAACAAAATTTTAAGTTCTGCTACAATTTTTGCCACAATTAAACCTTAACATGGAACATAAATTTATTACACACATCTTAGTTGGAAAGTAAAAATTCACAGAACCTGTTGCACTTATCCAGCAAAATATCTAAAGTTGGGCTAATCCAGACACAAATCAAATGAATCTATGTTTTATACACAGGAAAACAATATACAATAAGGTTTATATAAATTGTAAAAGGAGTAAATAAACACCATATTTACTTCTACAGTATCAACTTGTCTGTGATAAACTGGTGGAAAGGCATGACCAGATTGTTTAGGCACTGTAATCACCATGTTTTTAGTATCTCTTTCCTTCATAAAATAAACAAACATTCTACCACTAAAATACATACAATAGAAAGATAAATAATTCATATAAAAATGAAGGAGGTTGATGAATATTTGAAGCAGAACTTGTGTATGTCTTGGATCTTGGATAACCCATCAATTGGTGACTGATAAATCATGTCCGTTAGTCATATTTTCAAAAATCTAAATTTTACCAAATTTTCTTACATGAATTTATAACTAGTATAAACTCTTATTTTACTTTGTATGATGTGTCTACATGTATTTGTAATTATAAAGTATTGGAAATAAGTAATACTGAAGATAAAAATATTAGTACAACGAGAGCATCGCTAACGCTGCAATATACGTCCACATTCCAGCTTTGATTATATGGTTCTTTTTAAAATGAAGAGAATGAAATATGAAATGGCTTTAATATGATCAGAGGCAAAGAAGGCTAGGCGTTGGGTTTGTTTTGCCAAATTTACAGACAAAATACTAACAAAAAAGTGGATGTGACACTGCCCCAGGAGGTCGAGGCAAGCATCAAAATAAATAGTTGCTGTCTTTACAGTATAAGGAATAAATATGCAAAGTTCCAAGATGATCCATTCAGAATTGCAGGGTTGGATATGGAACAATATAAATAGGTACCACCCTGATATTGAAATGACAACATCAATAGTTGCCGTCCTTAGGGTATAAGGAATAAGTATACCAAGTTCCAAGATAATCTATTCAGAATTGTGGCCTTCTGGCGCTAAAGGCAAAAATTGGGCGTGGCTCTGCCCCTGGGGATCGGGGCATTCACCAAAATCAATAGTTGATGCCCTTATGCCCTTAGACTATAAGGCATACATATGCCAAGTACCAAGTTGATCAATTCAGAATTCCGGTCGGTAAACAATAAACACAAAAACTAGGCATGGCTCTGCCCCTGGGGGTCGGGACATGCAGTTGTCGGCCTTAGGCTATAAGGAATACATATCCCAAGTTCAAAGACAATCCATTAAGAATCGTGGTCTGTAGGCAACTCACAGAGACACAAAGAAAAAATGGGTGTGGCTCTGCCCCTGGGGGTTGGGCAATCACCAAAAAACAACAGGGGGCATCCTTAGGGTATAAGGAATAGGTATGCATGGTTTCAAAAGGATCTGTTAAGAATTGCGGCCAGTAGGCGACACAAAAGGCACACAAACATTAGGCGTGGCTCTGTCCCAGGGGGTCGGGCATGTACCAAAAATAATAGAGGTCAGCCTTAAGGTATAAGGAATAAGTATTAACAAAGTTTTCAAGACGATCGATTAAGCATTGTAGGCTGTAAGTGACATACAGACACACAAAAGGAAAATGGGCGTGGTCCTGTCCCTGGGGGTTGGGCATACACCACAAACAATAGGGATGTTCCTTAGGATAGAAGGAATAAGTCTGCAAAGTTTCAAGGTGTTACGTTAAGAAATGCGGTCTGTAGATGACAAACAAATAAATACAAGAAATGGGCGTGGCTCTGCCACTGGGGGTCGGGCATGCACCAAAAACAATAGGGATCATCCTTAGGGTATAAAGAATTCATATGAAATTTTTTCAAGACGATCGATTAAGAATTGTGGCCTGTAGGCGACACACAGATACACAAAAAGAAAATGGGCGTGGCTCTGCCCCTGGGGGTTGGGCATGCACGCCAAACGATAGGGATGTCCTTAGGGTACAAAGAATAAGTATGCAAAGTGTCGAGATGATACGTTAAGAATGCGGCCTGTAGACGACAAACCAACAAATACAAGAAATGGGCGTGGCTCTGCCCCGGTGGATCGGGCATGCACCAAAAACAATAGGGATCATCCTTAGGGTATAAGGAATAAGTATGTAACGATTCATGATGATCACTTAAGAATTGTGGCCTGTAGGCGACACACAGACACACAAAAAGGAAATGGGCGTGGCTCTGCCCCTGGGGGTTGGGCATGCACCCTAAACGATAGGGATGTTCCTTAGGGTACACAGAACAAGTATGCAAAGTTTCAAAATGATACATTAAGAAATGTGGTCTGTAGAAGACAAACAAACAAATACAAAATATGGGCGTGGCTCTGCCCCTGGGGGTCGGGAATACACCAAAAACAATAGGGATCATCCTAAGGGTATAAGGAATAAGTATACAAAGTTTGAAGAAAATCGAGTAAGAATTGCGCCCTGTAGGCGACCCACAGACACCCATACATACACACATACACACACACACACACCCACACACCCAGACAGGGGCGACGGCATAATGTAGACAAATGAATGTAGACAAATAAAAATAGATCAAATTCCATGTTGGAGACCTTACCACTATCTGGGTGAGGAAAGCTGATACATTGTTGTCTTTATCTGAAAAAAAAAATACCTCAACTACCATCAACCAACTAAATAGAGGATATTTGTCGTTTTAGAGTGAATAACATATTTTATTTCATCGAGAAGCAAGAAAACTTATATTTTCACGAATGCGTAGCATGAGTGAAAATATAAACGTTTTCTTGCTTAGAGATGAAATAAAATATGTTATTCACGACGAAACGACAAATGTTCTATTTATTTTATGATTTTACAATCATTTTAGGTAAAAACAACATGGACTACTTTAGCCAGTGGAATAACACTTTTATTTCACTGATAAAACGCGGTCTTCCACTACTGATCATAAAATAAATTGTGATATATACAATACAAAAGCATGTAAAACACAACTTCCTTATTATGCTCTATTTAGCTATCATAAAATTGAACTCAGTTTCTTTACCATTAATTATGTCTTTGTTATCTCCAGCTGGAACTTGATATAATGGATCTCTACCAGCTTTAAATCTTGACTTGGGCTTAGTTTTCTCGAAAGTTGGTATTTTAGATGGTAGAACTGTAAACAAGAAAAATAAAATCTTACAACCGGTATCAGGTCTTTTCACTTTCATCAGAATTTTGCTACATACTGTACATATATGAGAAGGGCCAAAAACAGTAGTAATATTCAGCTGATCTTGCTACATACTGTACATGTATGCCATGGGCCAAAAACAGTAGTAATATTCAGCTGATCTCTCTAGCACAGCTGTATGTCTATAACTAAAATGAAAGGCCTGCAGAGTGATTTAAGACTGTTAAGATACAAAGTCAATAAAGTGACTTAAGACTATCAACATAAATTGTTTTGAAAAAATGAAATGAAATGGGGTTTAACGTCCTACTATTATGGTCCGACCGAGCTTATGAAGACAGGCATATGCCATAAAGTGTGCCTTGCGGGAACTTTTGCCTTAACAGTGGCACTACGGCCCACTCTTATATTGAATTCCAACTACCATGGGATCTATTACATGCATGCCAATGTGTACACAGGATCTTTTATTGTCAATCTATCTGAATTACTATACATTGTCCCTTGCCAAGCCCTTTGACCTGTGCCACTTACAAGGGGAAAATCCCTAAAAACTTTTCCAGTTTATTGTAAACATTTTGTTAATTCCATGTATTATTATTAACTCAATTATTTTTGTATAATTCAACCACAGTATTAGTTTTCACAATGAAGATGTACGTGGTGGAATTTGTTAGTATTAGTTAGTATTTGGTGACTGGTTAGTCCTGCCAGTTGGGCAAATCGTCCTGCAGTTGCAATGGGATTTAGTGATAAGTGCTGGACATAACAATTTCTCATACACTAATTATAAATAGTATCACAAAATTACCATTGGTATCTTCAGTTTTAATCTCATCTGGATGAATTATATTTAATGATTTTCTTTTATCCCCAGTTTTACTGTCAGTGGCCTTGACATTAACAAAACAAGTACTTGACTGGCTTGATGATTCCTTCTTTTGATTTGCAAGAAATTCTTGCTGAAACTGCAACAAATCTTCCTCTGTTTCGCCCCGACCTGGTCGCTTTATATTTGACATCTTGAGATTTTGTCATGCGTACAACTGTGTAACATTACTGTTTCTAATATTCGATTAAACGTCTAAAACAGGGATATTTTAAACAAGCATAACAATAAATGATATTAATTCTGAAAATGTACGTTTTGTGGGCGCTGACATCTTGAAATATCCCGGATGATAATAAAACCTCGTATAACCAGACATGTCTATAGACCGCGGCATCTAAAATCGGCTGGTGTTCATAGCATAAATCATAGCATAAATTATGTCGACTCCATACAGTAATTTTGTAGAATCAAAATGCAAGTATAACATCTAGACTATAAATAATGAATAAATCCCTATTTTGTATTTCTATTTTTCATTTATAGCTAAACATACTCGGGGAAAGGCAAGGAAGAGACGAATTAATGAAAGTGAAAGACAAATGAGTGGCTTGATAACCAAAGAATCTACATGCGCATGAAAATTATTTCCGGATCCGATTACCATAGCGACGTTTACACCTGCGAGAGACATTTTCAACAAAATATCTCTCTACCACCTAGCCTACTGAAGAGTCTTAACAAAAATTAAAAATAGGTAAAACATTTATTTTTGACAAATATTGGTAATGCAGTTGGTATGTTTTTATTATTATTCTAAAAATATAAATCAGATTCTTACTCTTTCTACTGCCTATCTACCGTATTTGTCTATGATATGTAACTAATTATTTGGCTTCGCTTGTTCCTTTCCAAATGGTTTCGGGATGGACGAATAATAAGTCCTCTGGCTGACACAGTGGCTGTTCTCTCAATATCGTTCTATCCCCAAATCTGTTAATATTTTCCACCTTAATTCTTTATTGTGCAGCAACCAAAAGTGGGTCATTTGTTTTCTCACCACCGGACACAAATTTATAATAACCCAACAAACACTATTTTCCAGTAGAATTTTGGGATTCAAATATCAAAAACATAAACATAATATGACTGAATTCAGAATTGGTCCGCCAATTACTGTCTGAACCTTTCTATTTTATAAACGGATTTCTTCGATTATGAACAAACTATTTAACTTTGGTTATTAATAAACTTACCTGTGTGTTTGAAATCAACTCCGGTTAAATAATATCCATTGCACAATTAAATATAACAATGAACAAAGGAAAATTACGACAAAAAATAGTAATTAAGGGCTCCAAAATAGCCTAAAACAGAGGTGGGGGTAGGTAGAGCAGATTTTTCATATTACACTTGCAGCTTAATATAACATTTTAATTTCCACCCATCGTTCATTCTAAGTTCTTTCAAATACTGCACAAAAAAGAAATTAATTATTTTAAAAAATAAGACTGAAATAATAACAAACGTCAACTATTGAAGTAAATTGACTTCAGTTTCTTTGGACACTGAACTAGTGAAACAAAAGTGCACTACAGTTTGTGTTAGTTTTCTGCACATTTAACAGAAACCATCCACCATAAAGATTAATTTATGTTCTATTTTTCAGGTAAAAGATGGCTGAACCACCATTAACAGATCTAAAAGATGGAAATTCTGATGCAACTGAAACCAAAACTAGCAAAAGTCCTGAAATTTCTAAGACAGGTTCTAGAAATGGATCAGCTCGTTCACAAAAGAGTCATGGAAGTAAAAAAGGGAGAGATTTTATCCCGTCCCCTGCTGTGTCTGCCAAAGATAATCCTGCTGCCGATTGGAGAAATATGAGAAGAATTATTGCTGAGGATCCCGAATGGTCATTGGCTACAGTTCCCTTACTTGTTGAACTCTGTATTAAACATATCGTGGATAATTTTGAAAGTATGAATTTATAATTTTATGCTTTTAATTTCACTACCAGAGTACCATATTTAATTTTGTGCGCAAATTACCAGAACTAATAGATAGAAAGACTGTTGATAAGCTAACAATTGATTTTGATTTCAAGCACCAGTTCAATCAAATAGAATAAGAACTAATACTTAAGTTACTACGGTAAATAGTTGAGTTTTTATTCTGTATTTTAATCTTTGATTAGTTTGATAATATTGTTTTTTTTTGTTTTATAGATAACTCCAAAATTCTGAATGATTTATTACAAAAGCACCAAAATAAAGTGTTGGAAAAAATTTCTAGTGATCTACCACTAAAGGTGACAGCTAATTTAGTTGATGATGAAGGATTCTGGAAAAGATGTTGTAACGCCCGATGGGAAATTTGTGATGTGCTAGATTTTGGAGGAAACTGGAAAAGGATGTTTTTTGAAAAGAATTTACAAGAAATTATTGAACATTTTGTACCTGAAACAACTGACCCAATCCATTTAAATGAGACCTTGGCCCTGTCTGCAAATTATGTGAAGAGACTAGAAATAAGACAATTACTGCCACCTGTACGCGAAGCACCAAAAGGTCCCGATTTTGATGATGCCTCAGATGCAGGTAGTGATACCGGGGATGAACCAGAATGTGATCATTTTAATTTTACCCCAGTACTAAGTCTTTTACCAAATTTGGAACATTTGAGTCTGACTTATGGTGTTCGTGATTGTGGTATGAATTTTGAATGGCAGTTGTTTCAGTTCACAGCTAGAGACTGTTTACAGTTAGCTCAGAGTGTTGCTGCCCACAAACATCTACAAGTATTTAAACTACACAGGAGTAAAGTAGATGACGACAAGGTTCGTGTGCTGATCAGTCACATCCTTGATCATCCTGGTCTCATAGAGTTAGATCTCTCACATAATGTAATTGGCGATCGTGGAGCCAGGGCGATTGGTAAATTTATCAACAACCACAGTAGGCTTGTTCGATTAAATCTATGTGATAACCAAATACGTGGTGCTGGAGCACAAGCCATCGCACATGCTCTAACTAAAAACACTACAGTTGAGCATTTAAATCTGAGATTAAATAGATTAGGAGATGATGGAGGACAGGCGATATGTAGGTCTATGTTGAAGAATAGTACATTAAGAGAGATAAATCTGGGCAGTAATGATATGGCTGAACCAACAGCCGCTATATTGTCACAAGTAGTGATGCAGAATTCAACCATTTTGTCAGTTGATTTATCTTGTAATAGACTTGGTCCGGTTAGTATATACTATAGTTATTTCTTTTACTTTTTCTGGGCACACATTGTATAAGATACATATAGATGCTAATATTTACACCCTGTAATCACCAGTCTTCTTCTCTGCATCCAATTTTTAGTATAAACTTTATCTTGCACTATCCATTGCAACTCGATATACTGGGAGGAATAAGAGGGATAATTTGAAATACATGGATAAATATGAAACCTGTCACAAAGTGACCTCAGGTTCTTTAACTTACTTGCCCCCTTTTCCAAATTTCCAACAAACAACACAACTAATTAATTTATTTTAAATATGTATATTGTACAATCAATTTACATATACAATTTAAGAGGTTTTTACAAAATTAAATGCTTTAAAGTTACAGTTCATTCCGGCATTTAATACTCTGTTGCTTTAATTCAATCAATCCTTCTGGTTAGCATTCAGATTAATTCTCTGTCTTAATTCCACCATCCCAATCGCGTAAGTTGGTTTTTTAAAACATTTTAAACCCGAACACAAATTCTCGGAAAACACAAAACCTTCACATGTCACAGATCTATTTCCCGGATTCACCTAGACTCCCTAATTGTATTAAAACTTCACCAAGATTGAAATGTACTTCACCTAGACTACATGTGTACGATTCACAAAGTTCACCAAGATTAAACTACAATATGATTCACAAGGTTACCCCTGGGTTGAAATACAATTTATATCGGTCACCTAGACATTACCGGTTAAATGTTATTTCATCAAGGAACGAGTTCATCCCATTTAAATACATCGTATTTAATTACCAGGTTCTAAGCATCTAAAGCCAGTCATTGGTGTTACCGTAGATATTGAAAAACAGTCATGTCTGGTCCTTTAAAATCTCTCTGATCTAAGTAGAGAAAACAGCCATGTCTATATATCCTGTAACTTATTTTAAACCTCTCTGACAAACTTTTCTAATTCCTACACCAAGAAACTTTTAGTCACTCAAACATCCAATCAGAATTATGCACCACCTGCACATGCATCACAATCCAGACACGTTCATTACTTTACACCCTCATTACCTAACTTGCTCAGACATACCAACAATCGTTCTGTAAAAACAACGCATATACATTGAAAATAATTAAACTTTATTAACTAAAACCTGTACAACCCTTAATAAATGTCTTTAAAAGAAATAAATATTCCCTTTAGCCATGTACCAAATTAATTAGGTACCCTAAATCACAGAAATAAACCATGTCACAATTATACATAGCAAATTAACATACCAATTGTGACAAAACCTGAGTTGATATTTATTTTCCTTAATAATTTGGCTGTAATATTGTTACAGAAAATGAGTTCAAATAAAATTGTTGATTCCATTAGGTTTAATGTGTTGAATGGTTTTGTGAAATGCCATTATCTCTTCGTCCAATTCAAAATTATAAATCAATCCATAGATCCATTGTCTCGTATTGATTATGCAAACAGTCTGCTCTTCGGACTCACCCAAACACTTAAAAATAAATTACAGATAATCCAGAACATCGCTGCCAGGATTGTAACAAGAACTTCAAAATATTCATCCATAACTTCAGTGTTAAAGTCTCTTCACTGGTTGCCTGTCGAACCCCGGATTCAGTATAAAGTTCTGTCATTAGTGTATCAATGTCAAAATAATCTTGCTCCCTTATATTTGTCTGAACTTTTTACAAACTATCCAAACATGCGCTAAGGTCACATGGCAAAAATATACTTGCTGTTCCCAACACAAAACTAAGACAATTTGGTGGTAAAGTTTTCAGTGCTGCTGCACCTCGCCTTTGGAATCAGTTACCAGTAAACATTAAAGAATCTCAGACTTTCACAATCTTTAAGTCACAACTAAAAACTCATTTGTTTAAACTCTTATTATCCAGATTAGAAACAGATTGTTTATGTGTGTTTTTAATGGCGAGAGACTCTTTAAATGTTGCGCTTTGAGCATGCGTATATGGATGGATTATTAAGCGCATTACAAATATACATTATTATTATTATCCATTGCTGAAATAAATCAATCGTGTGCCTCAATCAACATGTTAAACCAGAAATGAAACTAAATTTTAATATACATTTAATAGTATTGAATATATCCCATCAATATTCAAAGTGCCCTGGCTCCTTTAAATTTTTTATTTCTATGCTTTTGCTTGTTTGTAATCTATATTCTCTTATATTATAGGATGGTGGCAAACAACTACAAGAAGGTATGGAGGAAAATACAACAATTACAACCATGGATCTAAGATTGACAGAATGTGGACAGGAATCAGAATATTGTATTAATCAAATTTTACACAGAAACCAAGAAGCAGAACGAGAGGCAAAAATCAAGAAGATAGAAGCGGAGGCCCCACCACAGAAGAAAATTGCAGAACCCCAGGCTGCTCATCGTTATAAACCTCGAATAACCCATGCTTAATATTATAACTATCACCAAAAATTCTAATGTTGTAAACGTTTTGTGTTTGAAATCAATAAGTTATATTGTAAGTTATAGTTAAATTTATTTCTTGGAATTTAACATTGGATACATAGTAAGGACTGAATATCAGACTATATGAAGTAAGATGGTTTTGTATAACTCATTAAAGGAGAAAGCAATGTTTTTTCTACATACCTTGTCAAAATATCTACCAGTATTTATGTCATGTAGAAAAGTATTTATTGATAAATTATTAAGTCTGTGATAATTTCAAATATGAAATAAATTATACATTTTCAAGTTGAATGGATATTTTTATACGCCCACATATGGTGGAGTCCACAATGTGGACACTCTACAGGTCACAATTTTCATCCAATTTTGACGAAACTTGAAATATAGGTCTGTCTCCCAAAGATCTTGGTTCCTTTCGATATTGGCTTGTATCGGACTATAACTTTATCAATTGTAGCCCCTGGTTGTAGGAAAAATAACATTTTTAGCTTGTGGACACTCCTGATTTTGATGAAACTTGCATTGTACGTGTACAACTAGTTTAATGTCTTACTGTTCTGTACCAACTCGTATAATAAAGACGGGCGTACGTCATACATTACTATTTGAGGGGGGGGGGGGGGGGGTTGTACATGTACAACTAGTATGTTTCCCCTTGCCTGTGGCTCACTAATCAGGAGGTTTGGGGTTTGATCCCTGTCATGACCTAGACAGTTCCCCAAACTTGCCAGCGTTGTTTCCCCTTGTCAGTGGTGCAGGAAGGGGGGTGGGGGCAGCGTCCAGTTATTCAGATGGAATATAATATTGAGGTCCCGTGCACATAAAAGAACTTTAAATTCGAAATAAAGAGTAGGCTGTAATGTATGGCGGCGTATGTACATCTTTATTATGACGATGATTTTTTTTTCTCTTCATTACAATTGCCCCTCAATTACAGTATTATTTAGATTTTGAAATATATGTATTTTAGTGAGAAAATTACATATAGATGCTTTGTTTCAATTTAAATATTTGTTAGGAATTTAGCCCCAAATCTAATCTGATTTAAAAGTTTACGTAGAAATACTGTTTTGGGAGAGCTTAATATGCCTGCCCGCCCGCCTCCCTGATTCGTTGAACCAGCCATTTTTCGGGCAGTGTATTTCAATTTTTCGGACACAAGCTTCAGAGAATGGAGAACGCGACCATATCTCATAGAAATATAATTGTATGATTAATTCAAAATAAACAACATCACAGCTTTGTGGAAAATTCATTTTAGTTAATGATTCATTCATTCAGAAAATTTGGTTGACAAATTTTTCAGGCATATTGGCTCAGCCCCCCCCCACCCCCACCTGAGATTATCCCCCTACTCCATGTAGCCCCTTACCTGTTGTTTAATCCGATTCAGTTTGTTGAATCAAATTTTGTTTAAACTATTATTTTCTCTCCCATCCGAGCGACTGGGCATTGTCCTTCCAGCCCACTCCCATCCCCTACCACTGACGAGGATACCGCACCGGGGTTGTCTTGTACATGTACATAGGAAAATGTGATTTTCAATAATTGATTTACTTCAATATATAATTTTTGTCTTAAATCTATATTTGTTAGCAAATTACACAATTTCAGTTTAAATGTTTGTAATTCGGCCTGAAATATCTGAACTAAAAGTTTACAGCTAGCTACCTGTAGTAAAAATAACGTAGGGTCTAATTGAAAGGGTATATTGGAGTGGGTATATTAGGCCTGCAGCCAAAATTTCTAGCTTGCTTAGAAACACAATTCCGCTACATGGTCCTCCCAAATAAACAAACTATACATGTTTGGAAAGCTTTGAACACTAGGAACACAAATCCAGGGAGTTCCAAGCAAAAAGTTTGCAATAACTCGATTTAGGGCCAGATGAAAATTGTGACAATTGTCAAATAAATGCTATATTTATACTAATAATTGTGAAGTTGACATAAAATTAAATATTGGCGAAAACACCAGGTGCCTTCATCATAGGCACAGAATATGCTATTGGTTAAATTTTGATTTAAACCAAAATGCAGAAAACATAATGGACAAGGGAACATACCGAATTTTGGAAATCCATTAACGGTAATAGAGAGTTATCTCCCTTTCTGTCAAATGTTTGCAATTAGTAACAGTATTTCAGGTGCGTGTTGACTGCTAATGCTGTATGACACACAAGGCCATGTGTGAGCACACAAGCCCAATATTTATGCGGTCACAGGGGACTGCAAGTGTTGGTGAGCGGGTGTTTACCCAGATATTATAGGTGGAGCGCTTAGTCTGATGAGCAAGGAGATACGTTTGACATTGGTTGAGCAATATGTCATAATGAAGATGTACATACGCCCGCCATACATTAGGTCTACTCGAATGTAAAGTTCTTTTACGTGCACGTCAACGTGTTCACGGGACCTCAGTTTTATATTCCATCTGAAAAACTGGACGCTGCCCAGCCCCCCCCCCCCCGCTTCCTGCACCACTGACAAGAGGAAACAACGCTGGAAAGTTTCGGGAACTGTCTAGGGTCAACACAGGAATCAAACCCCAGACCTCCTTATTAGTGAGCCAAGGACAAGGGGAAACATACTAGTTGTACACGTACAATGCCCCCCCCCCCCCCACACACACACACACTCAAACAATAATGTATGACGTAAGCCCATCTACATTATACGGGTTGGAGAACAGTAAGACATTAAATTCCATTTGATTTCTTTTTTCTTCATTACAATGTTGTCACTCCTATTACAGTATTATTTAGTTTTGGCCATATCTATTTTAGTGAGAAAACTAAATATCTGTAGATGCTATGATTCAGGTTAAATATTTGTTAGACCTTTAGCTTCAAATTCTATCTGGAAAAAAGATTGGACTTATATAGGCCCTTGTCTGTAGTTAAATCCCTTGACTGTTATCAATATTTTCCATAAAGGGAGATAACTCCTTTTACTATAAATTGATGTCCGAAATTCTGTATGTCACCTTGTCCATTTTGTTTTCTGCATTTTGCTTTATATCAAAATTTAACCAACAGCATATTCTTTGCATAGGATGAAGGCATCAGGTGTTTTCGCCAATATTTAATTTTATGTCAACTTCACATTTATTAGTACAAATATAGCATTTACTTGACAATTATCACAATTTTCATCTGGCCCTCAATCGAGTTAGTGCAGACTTTTTGCTTGGAACTCTCTGGATTTGTGTTCCTGGTGTTAAAAGCTTTCCAAAAATGTATAATTTGTTTATTTGGGAGGACCGTGTAGCGGAACTTCACGCTAGAAATTTTGGCTGCAGGCCTATATGTTTTAGTGGAAAAAATCTCGTGGTTTCAATGCGATTTACAAAACTACGGACATAGTCTGGCCTCCATTACTTCATAGACATATTGCTCAACCAATGTCAAACATATCTCCTTGCTCATCAGACTAGGCGCTCCGCCCATAATTTCTGGATAAACATCCGCTCACCAACCCTTGCAGTCCCCTAGCTGTGACCCCATTAACGATATAAATATTGGGCTTGTGTGCTCACTCATGGTCTTGTGTACACAGCATCAGCAGTCAACCGCACATGAAATACTGTTACCAATTGCAAACATTTGACAGAAAGGGAGATAACTCTCTATAACCGTTAATGGATTTCCAAAATTCTGTATGTTTCCTTGTCCATTATGTTTTCTGCATTTTGGTTTAAATCAAAATTTAACCAATAGCATATTCTTTGCCTAGGATGAAGGCATCGGGTGTTTTCGCCAACATTTAATTTTATGTCAACTTCACAATTATTAGTATATAGCATATTATTCTTGACAATTATTACAATTTTCATCTGTCCCTAAATCGAGTTGGTGCAGACTTTTTGCTTGGAACTCTCGGGATTTGTGTTCCTGGTGTTAAAAGCTTTCCAAAAATGTATAGTTTGTTTATTTGGGAGGACCATGTAGCGGAATTGTTTTTCTAAGCAAGCTAGAAATTTTGGCTGCAGGCCTAGTGTGAATATATCACAGTTATACACTAATGATGGTTGAGTTTGTTTTTCGTGAAAATCAGAAAAAAATGACGGACATAATGGCCGCCTTCTGTACGCAAATAGTGTATAAAAAAAATTTAAAAAATGGTATATCAAGGTTGTGGGCTCTTTAGAGGCCACAGTTTTTATCCGATTTGGATGAAACTTTAGATATATGTTTTTATCCTAAAGATCTTGGTTACTTTAGATAATTACACAGATTCGAACGTAACTTCCTGGATTATGACCCCTGATTGGTCGAAAAATCGCATTTTTAGCTTGTGGATTCTCTAGAGGTCACATTTTTTTCCGATTTTAAAAACCGTTTAAATACATCACCATTCCACCATAATTGAAATTTCGGGAAAATCGGAATGTAACTGACCGACAAAATGGCCGTTCTTTGTACGCAAATTGTGTATAAGTATGTAATACATAGGTTATGGACCTACAAGAGGTCACAATTTTTATCTCAGTTTGATAAAACTTAACACATATCTTTATATTCCAAAAATCTCAGTCTCTTTTGATATTTGCGCATTTCAGACCATAACTTTCAAGATTATGGCCCTGATTGTTCAAAACAATCGTTTTGGTTTTTAGTTTGTTCTCTATCCATCTCTTGCAAAATGTGGGCGTATCCTGCCTGGCAGCCGCTGGTTGTTTTTAGCTTGTTCTCTATTCATCTCTTTCAAAATGTGGGCGTATCCTGCCTGGCAGCCTCTGGTTACTGAAAAAGGAAACGGGGACCTAGAAAGGTTGAATGATGGGTTGAAAGCAGGGCCGTAACTAGCTCACAGCAACTAAAAGGGGGGGGGGGGTGCGGGGGCTGAAAGTGTTCTCAGGGGTGCTGTAAAATTGACGGACAATGTATATCTATTGTTTTTATGGTCGACAAATTGTTCACAGGGTGGGTGGGGGCGAAACTTTTTAAAGGAGGGGCTTTGCCCCCCCCCCACCTAGTTACGGGCCTGGTTGCAAGTCTTCTTTAGTCAAGTCAATTGCATGAATTTGAATTGCTAAAAATGGTACTGTACACTGGCAGGGATGGACTAAGGGTCGGGTTACCCGAGTGTGGCCTGTTAAAACAAGATTATTCGGGTCCGACATTGAACCAACGTAAAGAAAATGTATCACATCCGGTGCATCTCTCCAGTGCACATGAAACCCCAAGTGGGCTATAAATTATAAATATATGTTTTTATTTACGTCGGCATTGTTGATATTCGTGCCGCCGATACGATCCCCGATGCCCTACTCTGGGAGGTGTGGAGATT